GCCCGGGAAAGGTGGAGGGGAGCGGTCCTATGAGCAAGCGGCGGAATGAACTGGTGATGGGTCTCCGAGGACAGGAAACTGAGGACTTACTGCGGTTCATAGGGTCTCTTATCCTCAGCGTAAGCATGTATATCATGCAGGGGGGGGGGGGGCAAAACACCCCTCCCCGGATACGCTCGGTTAGGCTGTGGAGGAGCCACATCCTGATCGAGATGATGGATGAAGAAACCAGGGAGTGGGTTCGCAAAGAGTTGATCAACGTCAGGCCCTGGGGGCTAGCAAACCTGGTGGAGGTCGATCCGGAAGGATTGAGACTTAGAAGGGTGGCGATCTGGATTCCGGGCCTGGGGGCGGGTGTCTCGAACGAGGCACTAGTCCGCTGCCTGGCAGCTCAGAATGGCCTAGATTGCCGTGCCTGGAGGGTCTAGCAGAGGACGGAGGATGCAAGGGGCACAAGGTTGATGGTGAGCGTCGACGAGAAATCGGCAAGCGCCATCATGGCTAAGGGCTCACTTCTCTTCTGCCTGGCGACTCACGTTAAAGTGAATCTGGCGGCGCCGAGGCCGCAGTGATGAGGAGGCGGCGGGGGGCTCACACGAAGAGGGCTCGTTCATGGAGGTTGAAGGGCCTGTCGGAGAGGCGGCGCCCACGGCTTCTGTGGAGGAGACCTCCGTAGGGCCCTCCGAAGAAGGGAGAACCGAGGAGGAATCTCGGATGGAGGTTGACCGGGGGATCCCATCAGATGCAGGGCTACAACGGCCCACTTATGCAGGAAAATTTCGGAGGGCGGTACATCCATTGTACTGATTTAAGAGCCCAGGCTGGATTGTAAAATCAAGGGTTAGGGGCTTATCTCTGGGAGGATCGATGCTGCTGCATGGTGTCGACTCCTTAGAGGGCGGTCCCATGGCCTGTATACTAAGCATGGGGCTGGAGGCCTAAGGGACAAGGCGTCCAGGGACCTGGTTCCAATTCTAGTCAGATCCCCCACTCGGGACGGCGTGAGGGAGGTAGTAGTCGCCTCTGCGTACTTTCCAGGCGACCGCAGATGTCCTCAGCAGGAGATCAGTGACTTGGTCTCATACTGTGAGGAGGCTACTCTTCCTCTTTTGATTGGCTGCGACAGCAATGCTCACCACGTTTTGTGGGGCAGCGCGGCAACTAATAGAAGGGCTGCAGGTAGCCAACAGGGAGGTAGAACCCACGTTTTTCATGACGGGTCGGAGCTCGGTTATAGACTTAACACTTTGTACCAGGGCTCTGCTCCCGGAAATAACTGGGTAGTGTGTCTGTGGGGAGGACTCTATGTCGAACCATAGATACATCACCTTTGGGTTGGAGATGGGTGTTCGGGAATCCGTTAGAGTTAGGAACCCCCGGGTAACAAACTGGGAACTCTATAGGGAGGAGCTCGCTTGGTTTACCAAAAAAACACCGGACCTTGGAGGAGATTGACGAGGCCGCCGACCGAGTCAGCTCCGCTATGATACGGGCTTTCGAGAAGAGGAGCATAGGGCGGGGAGGACCCCTTTGTTGGAGCTCTTCCCTGGAGCGTCCCAGGAGGAGAGTGCGGAGGCTGTTCAATACAGCGAGGAACAGCAGCCAAGGTGCGGACTGAGATCTCTATAGGGAGGTCTGCAGACAGTACAAAAAGAACTACGGGCATCACAGAGGAAGGCCTGGAGGGGCTACTGCGACGGAGTAATGAATGCCCCGGACGCGGCTAATCACCTTAGGGTACTCAGAAGTGACCCTGCGGGAAGACTGGGAGTAGTCCGCAGGACCGGCGGTGGCTACAAAGCGGGACCAGCGGACGCACTACAACAATTGCTGACCACGCACTTCCCAGGGTCCGCTGATCCGGACACAGGGGGATATATTGAAGCCGGGGGTCGTCTTGGATTCGACTACACCACGGCAAGGAGGGTGGTTACCCATAGTAGGCTGAGGTGGACTATTGACAGCTTTGGCCCCCTTCAAGTCGGCGGGCGGAGATGGAGTATTTCCGGCTCTGCTGCAAAGGGACGGAGGTCTCCTGACCAGCCCGCTGAGGGACCTGTCCCGAGCCTCCATTGCTAGGGGGTACGTGCCCAAGCTGTGGAGACACAGCAGAGTAGTGTTCATTCCCAATGTAGGGAAGAATGACTACACGGATCCGAAGTCGTACCGGCATGTTTGCCTCACCAGCTTCATTATGAAGACTCTGGAGAGACTGGTGGACCGGTACCTGAGGGACTGGGTGAAGCTAGAGGCCCCTTTAGAGCCAGCTCAGCAGGCGTACCGAAGTGGCGGGTCTGTGGGCTCAGCTCTTCACCAGGTTGGAGAAGGGTATGGGCTCGGGACGGCTGTCGGTGTGCGTGTTCGCTGACATCGAAGGAGCCTTCAATAACACGGCCCTGTATTCGATCTGGAGGACGGTGGAGCGTACTGGAGTGGGGATGGCCATGGTAAGGTGGATCCGCTCCATGCTAACCGACCGGAGGGTCGAGGCAAAACTGGGTGGGGAGCAGGGCTCCATCGATTCATCACGGGGTTGTCCACAGGGTGGGGTCTTGTCCCCGTTCCTGTGGTGCCTAGTGGTGAACGAGATATTGCATATTCTGAGGGAAGAACACGGGGTCTATGCTCACGCATATGCAGACGACCTTGTGATAATGACACAGGGGACGGGCGTGCGGAGGATGCAGGGGCTCCTGAACAGGGCATTGGTAAGATTCTCAGAATGGTGCCTGGACAGCAAGTTGGCTGTCAATCCTGGCAAGGTGGAGATGGTCATCTTCACCAGAAAAAGGAAGATGGAGTGCAACCTCAACATTTCGATAGATGGGGTACCTCTTTCTGCAAGCGGAAGTGTCAAGTACTTGGGGGTATGGTTGGACTCCAAGTTGACCTTCCAGGAACATATAAGATCAAGGACCGGGTCGGCCTTTGGAGCTCTGTGGGCGTGCCGGAGAGCGGTAGGGGGCACTTGGGGCCTGGGGCTGAAGATCATGCAGTGGATCTACGGTACCATGGTGGTGCCTATGCTCACGCATGCGGCAGTGGCATGGTGGCCGGGGACCAAAAGAGCGGGAGCAAGGCTAGTTCTTGACAAACTGCAGAGATTTGCTTGCCTCTGCATAACGGGCGCCATGAGAACGGCGCCCACGAGGGCCCTAGAGGCTCTAGTGGGGTCGCCCTCTCTGGCGGATCGGGTGCAGATGGAGACGGCCAGGACAGCTGTGAGGCTGGCGAGTTGCGGGCTCTGGACGGAGGGAACCTTCAAACGGGGTCCATACGACATTTTAGACGGCTGTCGCGGGGATCGCAGGGTCATGGGCATGCCGAGTGATGTCATGATCCCCGAGATGACCTTCTTTGACAAATTAACCTTTCTCTTCCCATCAAGGGAAGAATGGAGAGAGGGCAGAGTCGGCTCCTGGGATGGACTTGTCTGGTACATGGACGGGTCCAGAATGAAAGATCTGGCCGGAGCTGGAGCGTACTGCGAGACAACGGGATCGAGCTTGTCGGTCCCTCTGGGTCAGTACTGCACTGTGTTTCAGGCGGAAATTTTCGCTTTATTGATGACGTCCAGAGAGGTGCTTCGGCTCAACCACGGAACAAGGAGGGTCTTCTTCTGCTCGGATAGTAGGGCTCCACTTATGGCGCTGAAGTCAGTGCGTACGCGCTCCTTGTTGATAAAGGAGTGCAAAGGGGTACTGAGGAGAATGGCTGAGGAGAAGAAGATCACGTTGGTCTGGGTCCCGGGTCACACCGGTATCCGGGGCAATGAGGCAGCGGACGCCTTAGCCAGAGAGGGCTCCTCGCGTAGGGCCAGAGCCCCGCTTGAGGATCGCCCCGTCTGTGAGGCGGGGAGCTCTCGAAGCCTGTGCGAGAGACCGGGCCGCGGGGGGCTGGAGAGGCAGACGAGGCTTATGATGGATGGGCCATGGATGGGCCCGCCTTCCCTCGGACCAGGGAGCTGCTTAGACTGACCAGAAGGGAGTGTAGAGCACTGACAGGGGCCTACACAAGACATTGCAGGCTTAGGAGGCATCTTTGCTTGCTAGGCATTAGAGACGACTCGGAGTGTAGGTGGTGCATGGAAGGGGAGGAGACCCCGTATCATCTGCTCACCGAGTGCCCTGCCTTGACATGGGCAAGACTGGGAGTCTTCGGAACGGCCCTGATCGATCCGGACTCAGTGCACGGTATTGGGCTAAAGGAGTTGATGACCTTCTATAGGAGGGGCAGCACTCTAGACGCCCTCTAGAGCGGCCTGGGGCACAACGGGCCCATCTGGTGGCATAAGTGCTTGGACGCCCGCGAAGGCGCCCCCCTTTAATACCAATACCAAATACCAAATACCCCTCTTCGAAATCCTGTCTGGAAATGAGAGAATGTAACTTTGCTTTCTAGTAAATGTTCCAATAGGTTTTTAATGATTATCATTATCATTATTATTATCACCACTGTTCTATTGTACGTTGTTCTTTTTTTTGGTCAAACAAGCACAGACCATAACCAAAAGCCACAGAATACAAAAAAGATATTGCCAAGTTAACTCTAAGATACAAAATCATAATTTATCAATACCAAATGTCTCGCCGCTCCAAAACGTGGTAGATGTCCTGAAACAGTCGAATTGGTAATGCTAATTTCACAGCCATTTGATCAAATTATCCTCCCTCATTTCATTTTGAATAAAAACCAAAACTAATTTCTGATGTAGTAGGCACTACAGTACAAAGACGTTTCCATTTTATTACCACATGTTAAATCAGCAGCACTACACACGAACACTAAGATATACCTTAACAACACCCACAATAAAAATAGACACCATGACCTCTACATACACTTTACCAATCGTTACCGTTACGTATCGGGAGCGCTTTGCTATGTCCGCTGAATGAGACCAGGGACTCTCGGTAATTTGCTATTTCTGTCAATAATTTCCAATTTACTTCTTGTTAGGTTTTCACAGTAAATCCGTGTGGGTGAAACATAATTGAGCATGTGACGACGTTTTCGTTTTCATGCTTCTTTCCTGCTTTGGGCAAAAGTTTCAATATTAATTTGGAGCAAACGTTTTCGTGTTCTATGCTTTTTCGTGCTCTAGGTGCAAGTTTCAATATTGTTTAGCCCGAAAGTATTTTATTAAAAAAAAATGGATTGAAAATGTTCTAATTATTTGAGATTATTTAACATCGAGGAATCATGTTAATTAATAAAGTTTTCGGAAATGTATTAGTTTCACATACTGTCCGTAAAGTATTAGCAAAATGTTATACAGAAGGTCTAAAATCCCATCAAAAAGATTTGATGTCTAGAGGTCTACCCCATAAAAAACCTATCATAGGAGTAAAGCAAATTGTTCTCATATCCTCTGGAAAAGGTGGGGTAGGAAAATCTACAACCGCAGGTTTTTCATTGTGTGCTAATAATGTCATTGTCCCTCAAGAATTTTATTAATTTCAGTAAATCTTTCAACGGCTTTGAAGTTAGTGTATCCTAACAAAAATGTCGGTCTTCTGGATGCCGATATCTTTGGTCCCAGTATTCCACTTATGATGAATCTGCATGATACACCATTTTTAACAGAAAAAAACCTCATGGTGCCCCTAGTAAACTATGGAGTAAAATGGCACTGTTTATTTGTTAGCCAAAATATGAATATTAGTCATTGTTAATGTTTTAGCATGTCAATGGGTTTTTTGATTGAAGGAGCAACTCCAGTATTATGGAGAGGTCTAATGGTTATGCAAGCACTCGAAAAACTTATAAGACAAGTCGATTGGGGTGATATCGATTGGCTTATTGTAGATACTCCACCCGGGACTGGAGATACACATTTAAGTTTGGTACAGAATTTACCGATTTCTGGTAACTTTGAAAAAAAAATGTTTAAAATAATTTTTTAAACACAAACCTTTGTTAGGTGTTGTGTTGGTAACTACTCCTCAAACGGCAGCTCTTCAAGTAGCAAAGCGAGGGGCTGGTATGTATGATAAGTTGAATATCCCAATAATTGGGATAGTCGAAAATATGAGCCACATAACTTGCCCGACTTGCTCCAGTGACATCAAAGTTTTCGGAAATGGTACTAAGCAATTTTCCAAAGCTATAAACACGGAGATATTAGAAAGTTTTCCCTTAAACAAAGTCGTTTCCGAAGGCGTTGGTAACGGACTTCCTATAGTTTTAAATGGAAATAGTTTAGAAAGTAATTTGTACAGAAATTTAGCCAAAAAGGTTGTTAACTTTTTAAAAAATAAAGCTGCGATCGAGTAAAGCGTTTATTATACTAAATCAGCTTTTACATACAATATGAAACTGCAAGTACTGTAAAACGTCTTTAGGCAAAGACATGTCCTGAAGGTAATTCCCAAAGGTTCGGCAGATATTGAACAAACTCCGTTTCACGGCCGCTGTAACTGCCCCCTTCATTTTGCAATTGAAATCATCATAGCCCGCCACTTTTCTTGCCAACGCTGGCACCTTGTTTAATTTATCCAAGCTCTGCTTCAGGCCCACCAGGCTTGTGATAATTATGGGCAAATCTTTTTGCACAATCCCATAACGATCCTCCGCAATCGAAGCGCTCACTATGTCTGCAATTCCTTGGCTACACCAAATTATTATCTGTCCGTTTGCAAGACATCTTCTAATATTCGCCTGCGGCAGCTCTCCAAATAAAAAGTTAATCCTCAAGATAGTTTTGATTATACTCCATATGCTGTTCAATTTCTGAGCAATTTTTCCAATGAGGGGCTCAGGAAATGCAACTCGCACGGGTGATTTGGTTACAGAGATAAAATCATAATCTTGTGAATTGATTAATGCCATGTTTCTAAGATTTCTGAATCGATCAGAGGGGGCCATTGGCGTGGGAACGGTTGGAGACTTAATCCCTGCCATTTCTGGAACATCAAATGCCTTGTTCAACAATTCCGTATATTCCGCAATCAATTTTAATATATTCTCTAACAAGGAGTTCCAATTGTGGGGATGTCCACCTGGTTGAGATAGAGTAAAGAAAACCTGCCTTCTTGTAGATGAAAATTCGGCCAGTAAGTGTAAATCAAGACATGCCAGATTTTGTACTATCGGCAAATCGAAATTTACAATGCTCTCTTGAAGAGTTAAACTACCTGACTGCTCTTTCAACAGTGGGAATTCCACAGGCTCTGTTAAAAACAAATTGAAGAAGAATCTCATCAAGTTCATAGTAAAGTAGTATAAGGCACTAAAGTACCACAATTCAACATAGATATAGGCCGCTGGGTGTTCTTGTGAAGGAAAAAAATTAAACAAGTGTCGGAATCCTGAGCTGAATTCTTCACCTCTAATGTAATATAAAATAGAAAAATATAAAGCAGGCCAAAACGATAATAAAATTGACTCTCTCAGGAGCAACCTCAATTGGGAGGTGAATTGTAACAATTTTCTCTGTTGTATGACTGGAAATGTTAAGTTTTTTTCTGCAATATAAACTTTAATGAAAAAATATAATCCGGTCCACAAGCCGCTGGATATTAGAAAAAAAGAACTTTCATTTAAACATACTCTGTTCCCATTGCAAGCTTGAATTAAGTTTTGGTGTCTGCCACCCGAAATCGACAACATCAACCATATTAGGAGGGCTCCAACAATAATATGCAACAACAGAAGCACCCAATTCCTCATCGAAAATGTCACAACAAATTTCTGAAATCTCGTTGAACAGTACGACGACTTTATTACATAGTCTTTGGCGCAAATCATACTTTGTGCGAATATGATCGCCAAAAAAGGTATTAAAAAAATTAAGGTACTGAAAGAAATAAGAGTTTTCCCACTCAACATCAACCATTCCCATGGATGAAAAATGTTTGAATTCACTGCAACTATGTACAAAATCAAAATGACTATTTGCGACACTACACTACACGTTACTGCGTACGTTAATTTTCTTAGAAGCAAGTCTTTATGGGTAAACTTGTGCACGTCTTGGTTACAATTCATGATGTTTCTAGCTGAATGTTCTGGTGAATTGAATTCGATCTTAGTCTATTTGTAGATTGATAATTGCGGTTTTTTGTACTTCCATGTATTTAATTTCAATACTAAGATCTGTTTTTCGCCGGCTTCGTGTAATATTTCCGTTGATGCATATTTCGTCATATATCTTCTTTTGTTATGTACAGGTCGTCCGCCATGGTCATTCGCCCATTAACGAGCTCGTCGAGATTTTAAGTCGTTAATCTACACTTATCTAAATTAACTCTCCGTGATCTTTATTGCGTTGTGCGTTATTGTGGGTTGCTAACATATAGCCACTAGAAATATAGAGGAACTGCGTATGCTGATAATACATAAACTTATGAAGCAACCATAAAATTTTTAGGAGTAGGTCCATTCAACATACGCATGCGCGAGATTAAAAAAATCTTATTTTAATCAACAACTTTGCGGTATTCGTCAAAAAGTTTGGATGCAGCAGCATTTTCTCAAAATACATCCAGATTCCATTAAATCTTCAGGCTGAAGAGAGTTAAGGGTGTGGATATCGGTGTTTGGAAAGAAAATGGCACAAGCTGCAGGTTAGTGGGTAAAATATAGAGGCAGACGCGCTACGAAAATATTATTTCCCACTGCGGCGCATCAGTTTTTATCATAGTAGGGCCACTATCACTCTCGTATCTAATAGCTCTATTGCTGCTAACGAATACTCATATTCGAACAGGAATGATAAACTGGAGAATAGTGACATAGTCATATAGAAATTATGTTAACGTTGCTTAATCCCTCCCTGACAAGTTTTATGAATTATTGATATAGGGGGATCAAATCGTTTAGCCTTATGAGACTGTCATATTCGCGTTTAATAGGTAGAAAATTAAGTTTTTATTGCAAAAATTGAATCTTATTTACCAAACGTATGGAGTAATACCAAATCTTTGGCTTGATGGGCGTAGTAGTTTAGTATTCGATTTTTTTGTTGGTTAACCCAGGTTAAAATAGTTATGTTTACGAGTTGTTTTTCAAGCAAATATATCATTCTCATAAAACTTTATGGTGGTATTCAAAGTTTTCAAACCGTATTTCTAGCAAAAAATATGTATTTATTAGTTGTCAAATAATCAGTGTGATACAGTTCCTCTTCGCGCATTTTAACATAAAAATGGAAGATAAATATTTTGAGCTTATAGGTAGGACATATTTCGGGAGTCAAATGCTCCTTTCCATGATTAATTCTTGAGAAACATCTCGGTGGTCAATCTTAACAGCAACATTATACTTATCTACATAAAATATATATACAATTTGCAAAAAAAGTAAAATAAAATCTAAACATTGCAGTTTTGAATGTATAAAAACAAATGGGTACCAGTTTTTGCATCAAAGCCCAATGAAAAGTACTCAAAAAAATTTAAATAACCATTAAGCAATTCAAAAAAACTGATACCCGCTATTATCACTCACGCTCTGACCACATAACCCAATTTCAATAAAAAAGTCTATCTCATAAATAAAGTACAATACAACAGTCATGTGACATAAAAAAAAGTGGGAGTCGTGAAAATAACTAATTCTATTTTTGTGACACCATATATTATGCCCTGTTACCACTTCTTTTTGTGCTCATCCATCGATACCCCACCAGGGCCTAAATAAACTATCATTAGGAGACCTCCTATTACTGATAAAGTCTGAAACAACACAAATAAAATTAACTGTGAACTATTTGACAGCCGCGCACATTAATATGCTCTTAGATTTTTGACAGTTTAGCTACGTCAACTGAAAACAGTCTTGGCTAGGAATGTTTACTTGGTGTTGCTTGGGGTTATGCAATTTTAAAAATATTTGCCACAAAAAGCTAGTTAATTAAATTAAAAGAAAGGATAACTGTTCCAATAATGAATTCAAATCAAAGATCCAATTATACATATAAATCGGTTTTCCGCAACTTTCTAATATGCAGCTGACATTTTCCAGACCAAAATAGGTTCAATTTAATATGAAAAAATTAGTATTCACGATTTATTCATAGGTATAAAATACTCTTGATATTTAAATGACTATTAAAAGAATTGTTCAATGTCTCACGTTCACAAATAAAGTTAAAAATTCACACTTGACCTAGAGGATTTTTTTTTGTGAAACTATGCTTTAAAATTAAATCAAAGTTACAGTTAAATAAAATGATGTAATTGAAACAAATTTATTAATATTTGGTAGTTATTATTTTTGAGGTCTCTAAATAAAGACAAATGAGCAACTTTTTCAACAACATATGAATTAGAAACAACCTGCAATCTAAAATTGTATAATCATATTATTTAAGAAAAACATACCTGAAAGAAGTCATATTTGAGGAAGTCTCGGAGAGGTTTGTAATCTGGCACAGTCCACCAAGCATTGTGGTAGAAGTTCAGCAATGTCAAAAGAACTACTAAAATCAGTGCTGACAATTTTGTCTTGTATCCTACTGTTACTAACACCATCAGTGCAGACCCCAAAAGATCTTGAAGGATCTAAAACAAATCAAGTTTTTTAAGAGTCAACGGTGTCAAAATCCATTTTTTTTACCTGCAGGAAACTAAATTCAAACCTAAGCAATGTGACAAACATAAAAGCAAGGAGCACTCTTCCAGCAAATTGTAAATAGTTTTTGGGCTTGTTGTCTCCTAATGAGGGAACCCCTGCAAACAGACTCTTTGCTTCTCCTCTACTCTCTGCCAAAACCAAGAGCAATGCTCCGACTAAAGCTAAGTTCCTCAAAAGAAACTGTAAATCCCAAAGGATGCTATATGCCAATGTCTGAAAAGTGTTGTACAAGCATAGTATCAAGGAAAATATTTTCTTTCGCTCTTACCTGTAAAACGACGATAAAAAACAAAATGCTGCACCCAATATTCACTCTATACCTAACTATAACCATTGCACAGCCACCCAATTGGAAAATAAGGTTTATAAGAACAAAGACTGTGGCCAAAAACTTCCCACATCCCCAAGACATGTCCATATACTCCCTTTGTTCGTTCCATTGTACCCACATTCTCAAACCGTCCTCAAAAAATGTTGATATTAAACACAATCTTGCTAATGTCGGCAAGATGTGCTTCAATTTTCTTTGAACCTAAAACCAAAATGAAAGTTTTCAAAGTATTTTGAGGTTGGGATTTTAAAAGAAATTATACTATAATACTGATATTTGCAACAAAAATGCCAATTCAGATAAAAAAAAACATATGGTTCGGGCAATTTCAAATTTATTGTTTTAAGAAATAAACTTTCCCAAATTTTCATTATGTGAAAGTTTCAAAAACCCGTTGGATTGTTGGCCAGAAAAATTATCAGGCTGACGTGTGACAAGCGATTTTAAGTTTCATTTATTTAATAATCCGAGAGAATGACAAAATGAATCAACTAGTTATTTTTCCATTGTTAATTACCTGATCCGCTATATCCTCGGCCTGGGAAATGTACTCCTTCTGTATGTTCATTTTTGTAAAATGAGAACAACCTCCACGCAATCACTTAATTTTTGGACGAACCGAAAGAACCAAAATCAAAAACAACCTAAGCTCCACATATGCGTTGTCAAATTTAAGAACAGCCTTCTTCTTTTTTTCATCTTTTGGGCAAAAGCTTTTTAGCATTCGAATAACTTTTGACAGATGATGAATGGAATAAAACGGAAATGTCTTACCCAACAGGAATGCGTCAAAGACTAATAATCACAATGACGTCCATGCCCACCCGTGTGTCTCATGTTACTATTAGTATTAAGACCCGCCCCTTAACCCTTTAGTTCACAAGAACACTTCCGTGACGGCCTGTGGTTTGTCATCATAACCTCAAAGTTCGGAAATAAAAATAAAACTTATATTATCGATTAATTTACGCAATGAGCGATTCCAAAGTTCCAGGCGCACAAAAAATGAACGGGACTGAAACGAAAACCCCCTTTTTAATAGGCGTAGCTGGGGGTACGGCCAGTGGCAAGGTGAAAATTTAGCAAATAAAAGCCATTTAAATAATGTATTTCCATTGTAGAGCACAGTCTGCAAGAGAATAATGGAGAAACTAGGTCAAGTGGCTGTTGATGATAAACAAAGACAGGTCGTTTGTTTATCGCAGGATAGTTTTTATAGAGAATTGACTCCAACAGAGATTGCCAAAGCCGAGAAGGGGCAGTTTAATTTTGATCATCCTGATGCCTTTAATGAAGCACTGATGAGAGATACACTAATCGATATTTTAGCTGGCAAAATCATACACATTTCGGCCTATGACTATAGGAATCATTCATTGTAAGAATGTAATTGATGGGGAAGAGTTACAGGTCTGATGTTGAATTTTAGGAGCAAAGATCAAGTTTTAACAATATATCCAGCAGATGTGGTGCTATTTGAGGGAATATTGGTATTCTATTTTCCAGAAGTAAGGAAACTGTTTCACATGAAGTTATTTGTCGACACTGATTCAGACACAAGACTTGCAAGAAGAGGTGTGTGAATCATTTTTGCAATATATATTTTATGCAATACCGTTTCAGTTCCAAGGGACATTAATGAGAGAGGAAGGGATCTGGAGCAAGTTTTAAACCAGTACATGAATTTTGTGAAGCCTGCATTTGAGGAATTTTGTTCACCAGTTAGTAGTCTATATTTATTGTTATATAACATATTTAACCCATTTTTTGTTTTAGACTAAAAAGTTTGCAGATGTTATAATCCCCAGGGGCGCAGATAACTATGGTAAGTTAAATGTTAATTATTATAATTCTCTCCTTTATTTAATTTTGTGGGCTATTGGGACAAATAGCCACTGCAATTGTAATTTTTAATTTTAAAAGTACTATAAATATTCACATGTTAAGATCTACAAATCATTCACTTCATTCAGAAGTAATTTCTGATATTGCATTAATATATGCGTGTCCTTTAATAGTTGGGAATGATGGTAGATTCCTTTTATTCAGGTCTAAGTTTTTAAGAAGAAATTGGCTTCAACTTTTTGCAAATTTTTCAAATAATACTTTCTTGTTCCCATTGGTTGAAAAAAATTTATTAGTAATAATGTTTGGGGTGTGAGGTTCTGGCAACTCATGTATTTTGTTTTATCTTTTGCAGTGGCTATTGACCTAATCGTTCACCACATCAAGGACATTTTGCAAGGCCGAAAGAAAGGATATTGCTTTTTTGTGGCATCACCACAAGGAATTTAAAGGGTGGAGAGTGGACGTTAAGATTATTATTAATTATATGATCCCGATTGGCTTTATCAAGAAATTGCCATTTTATGAGCACTTAGAAAACTGATTTTCGGGTATTGATTTCCTTGACTGGGAGCATTGTTAATATAAAATTTAATTATGTGCGTGTTGTATGTAATTGTGATACATAATCTGCAACTGAAAATTATGGGATTCTTTTTAGGCTGTGTGGACTAGCGGTTTTAGGCGGTTAGAAAATTTATGGTAAAAATGTTACCATAAAATTCTTAAAATGTTGATTAACCAATCCATTCCCAAACACATTAATTTTTCTATTAGAAGTAGAAAACATCTCAGTATTGAAACTACGATATATTTAATATACGTTCCATAAATAATTTCCCTTATTTAAAGCGTATAAAAATTACAATTTAAAAATATTCAACCATAATTTTTTTTTTTAAGTTGAAATAATTACCAAACTTGTGTGCTCTCAAATGGTCAAGGTAATCACTATTTTCGCTTCTTCAACAAGCAAATTGCTTTTCTGATGCAAAATTTGTTACCTATTTCCACAATTAAAATTTGAAGAATTATTATTTTTCCAATAAATTGAAAATTAGGTTGCTTCTTTGCTAAATCATCTCATCTTACTATGTTATGTAAAATCCGTCAAAAATAAACCAGTTTCATATGTAACAAAATAAAATTCTACCAGAAATTAGCACACAATTACTCTTGGTTTATGCTAAAAATTAATATTTCGATTTTTAACGGTTTTAGATTTTGTCTGATAATGGCAAAAAGTTAAACCTCCCAAGAAAACAAAAATGTCTTTGACACAGTTTAATTTTAATAATTGAATTTATGGGTTTGTGATATTAGAATTTTCTACATTTATCAGAGTTGCAATTTTAAGCCAGTATTACATATATGATGTAATTTAATGGTCCACAACTGATTCAATTTAACATATTAATAGTTTTTTACTTTTATACAATTTTTGAAATCAGTTAAGTCAAGAACAAAACCAGTGTATCAGTGTTAAAATTTTATGATAGTATAATAAATGCATGATAGCATTCTTGGTTTTTTATTTGCATTTTTGAAAATTTTATTTTATGATTATGAATAAATGGTTTACTTTTAGTCGCCATCGATTTAATCGTGCAACATATCAGAGAAATTTTATCGAGCAAGCCGAGGACATCAGAGGAGAGGATCATAAAGTCGGCCACTCTTGTACCATCACCAAATCAATCACCAACAAAGAGAATCGGGCTAAACAGTGAAGGGTTATTTAAAAGACCCCATTAAGGCAATTGAGTTGAGTTTTACTAGAAGCGCAATAATGATTTTAGTTTCATATTTATCAATTCGAGATGATTCTCATTTGTTTGGGGGCATATACAACATGACTTTCATACTATCTTCACCAATTTTTATTTACCAAACACTAGAGCCGGAATTTTGCTTTAATATTTTTGTGGCAACTAGCGCCATTCTGTTTATTTAATATTTTAATGTGTTTGTGATATTTTTGCCAAATGTTATTGTTTTGTTTATATTTATTTCGTTAAACTTGCCAAACAAGGCTTTGTTGAATAAATTTTACTTACCTATTCCAAAAGTATTTATTTAAAATTATCTTAAATAATGATAATATAGTTTAAAAGTACATCAATATTTTTCCTTGCGGGATATTGTAAGATTACTCATTGGTAGTACAGTTCTATGTTCATACCATCATGAATTTCATCTGTATATAAAAGTTAAGAAAATGTATCACCCTTATCAAATATGCTGAAATTTAAATAGATTTTTTTTATATTAAAGTGAAAAATAAACCAACGAAAAGGATACAATCTTGGAGTTGGATGTGGTCTTTGAAAACGGTGTACCATTTCTTTAAAACGATTTTATCCCATCTTGTCCCTGTTTGCGCTGCTATTAGTTTTTTCAGATCTCCTATCGTATCATCTGGGTTGCATTTTACCCGAACCTTTTTGCCAAGCCTATCATTACAGGTAATTTCGATCATTTTTGATAATAAACTCAACCGATCTCAGAACCTATAAATTGGATATGAGTTGGAATTAGAATTCAGGACCAATAACAGCTTATTTCTAACAATTTACGTATTTTTGGGCAAATTAATTAAGGGTACTCGCCCATTGCCGACATCCGTCAAGGATTGTATTTTGTAACCCATTAACCAAGAAATCTCACTGCTTTTTTTGATCCCATAGAAAAGAAGAACCTACTTAATTTCAACGAATATTCCTTATAGTCTTGGTTAACCGAATGTAAGGAGAACCTAAATTTAAGGAAATCTGAGGGATTCTGTCGTGAACATTGCACATAGCGGTTTAACCTCTGCTCGCTCCTGATAGCATCCTTCATAATCATCCCAAAAACCTTGATATCGGTCTCTATTATGTGTTATTTAGTTTCCCAAGTGTTTAGTGAAAGTTTTAAAGTGTGTAATCGGTGTCGGGCCTGCTGTTTTTGTCCACTACGCCGGTTGAAGGCCGGATAGGCTCGGATAGCCCAAGGTGAAAGCTGGGGAGGCTGTTTTTTACTATCGGTCAAAGTACTTTTTTGTAAGTTAAGAACAAATAAAGAAGGTGTTAACAACCCTGGCTAACCGGCATGTTGAATAACTCGCGCGGTCCTAGTGGAATAAAGAATTTTTATGCTATAAAGTACTACCGATTAACTTAGCTGTTTTATTTTGAAAACCCGATCCACGGACATGTCAGCATCTTTTAGGAATTTTGAATAGTATTACCAATTTTCCTAAGCTGGCCGAATGATCTCAAGTAAGCATGGCCATTAGGAAGTAAGGAAGAAGAAGAAAAAGAAAATAATCTGACATAACCCCACAGTAAGGAAAATGGGAAAGGTGCTATCTTCGATAAAACATCCCTTCAGAAATTTCAATTTAGAAAGTAGAGCCCATAAAGTAATATCTCAACCGAAACCAAAACCGGCACCCAAACATACCAGAGATCAAATCGAGATCGAGCGACTTATTAAGGGTATCATCATGGGCATCATGAATGCTTTCACAGTTGGATAACATACTGGTTTTAGAATATTCAGACGTATATCACGCGAGTCTCAAGAAAAATGCACTTTTGGATGAGCGACTAAAGGACGTTTTCGTTGTGGCGGATGATGTAAATGTTCATACAAAATCTCATCTCTTTCCAGTACAATAGCAATATCTTTTAGCCCCCTCCAATAATTCAGCCACAAAATCCTAGCAGGCCGTTGCCGTCTGACAGATCCCCCTCTGAGCCTAATTTGTTTGGAATAAAGGAGCCTGACATTATCCCAAAAGGAAAAACTACTTTGCGGAATGCCCTGCAGTTCTTAGGTAAACATCAGGGGGACCCTAACAATTATACAGCAGAACGCATTGCGAACGATTATTGTTTACCTGAACATGTTGTCAGTATGTAAATGTAAGTTGATCTAACACAGATCCTTAAAAAAATATTTTACAGAAAATTTGTTGATGTACTACAGAGTGTTTGAATTATATGTGCCAGAACAGCTCAAGGGCAATGCAAAATTTGCCAAAGCTAGTATTCCCAAAGTTTATATTATTCATGACATCAAGAAGCTGCCTTCCGGGAATCTCAAAAAGGACGAAACCTGACATTGATGCTGAACGAGGTAATCAAATTTTTAAATGAGTTTTACAAAGTGTAGAGTATTTATTGTAAACAATGACGCTAATAAAGTATAGACAGTATACCGTTTAGAAATACATATTGTATTCATTTAAGCGATTTTATCCCACCTCCAGATGGTTCCATCATCGCAAACATACAAAAGTATATTGGCATTGCGACTTAAAGTTGTCTGACGTATCGCGGTGGTACATCGAGTATGTTGTAAAGTATAGCATTTCGTGTGGGCAGGATCGACCACGTCTAGGTCCCATACAAAAACCTTACCGGTTTGATTTCCCAGAGCTAAAATCTGCAATAAATATAGAAAAATATATAAAGAAAAACTACCTCTTAAAAATACTTTTTGTGCTGATAACTAATTAATGTTTAAACTGGCTAAATTCTGTCAAATTTTTGTAATGTATGTAATTTAATTTTTTTGATGTTCGACATGATGCAATTTTTTGAAGCGAAATGAGCTTAATAATTTTGGTTTTAAAAGGTTCTTTAAATTTTGATGATAATAATCGATACTTTGTAAGTATCATTGTTTCTACTGCGCATATAATAACGTGGGTCTATAAGGAAAATCCATACTCCAATACTAAAAAGACAAATTTCTCAAAACTAATTTCTGTGCAATTCTCTCTTAGATTAAGTGATTAAAAACAAACGCATCGACATGGGATAAATTGAACCTTTACATATGGAACTCCTGTGGAACTCGCTGATTTGCACAATACTTTCACAATTTTTACCATAGTGGTTAACCCATCGGAAAGTTGTTGTTTAAAATGTGTTTAAGAAGCTGTTAGGTACAAATAAAAATATATCCCAGAGGCTTAGAAGCACTACCTTTTGCCAAAAATCCATAGCGAACCTCACAAACCATATCTCGCACTCTTTGTATTCAAATCTATGAATTATGGTGGAAGTTGTTTCGCCCTTTCGCAGCTGCTCATCCTCTAAACGCCCCGGTTTCCAACACACTATACAATTTTCGCATGACTTGCTAAGCAAAAAGTCACCAAACCATTTGACGCAATCAACATAGTTCCTTGAACAATTAAAAGAGTTAAAACTCAAAAAAAATAGCAATTTTTTATGCAAAAGTAAGAAGCAAGGCAAAAGTCACCCACCTATGGATATCTCTGGTTGAAAAATCAGGAAAATGTTCCTTCAGGGTATCGAAAGGACGAGAATTCCGATTCGAGTTCCAATTATATGACTGCCTTACGGCCTCCTTCATCAATTCTTTGTCTAATCTCCATAATTTAAGAGAATGGTCCATACCGCATGACATAATTCGATTACCCATTAGATCGAAGTCCGCACTGAGTACTTCATCCCTGTGTCCCTCTACTCCACCAAAAATGGCTATACAAACGTCCGATTTAATATTCCATAACCTCAATGAATGGTCTTTTGAAACAGAAAGCAATAAGTTTGGATCTCTGGGGTGAAATTTTAGTTCATTTATGGCATGCCCATGACCAATGTAATGTCGGATGCAACTCATAGCAGCAGGGCTTAGTATCCGAACAACACCCCTAGAACCTGCCACAGCCAAAAGCGGTTTGCCAAGATCTTCTTCGTATGACCAAGCACATGTATAAAAGTTCTCATCTAGCTACAGAAAAGAAAAATATAATGTCAACTCAAAATATTTCACAACTGTAACCCACATCAGGATCTGCATAGCACTGAACAAGTTTAATTCCATTTCCTTCAGGACATTCATAAATTGTAACCCTGTTACTACCAACAGCAGCAAAAACCAGCGGTTGTCCTTCCTTCAGATGATGATTAAATTGGGCACCAAAAAGAGGCTGCCCATGGTCTTCTTTAATGCTACACCTAAAAATTGACAATTTAAGAGTCAAATTTTCAAAACAGAAAAATTGCAAATCTCACACATATTTATAAATGGGCTTTGGTATTTTGGGGACGTTGCTTAATTTCTTTTTCCCAGCACGACCTTTCCGTGTCCTATTGGTGGGTGTAGCACTGCGGGAGGTATTGTCGGTAGTAGAGGTGCTCCCGATGCTGGAAGTCTCATCCTACAATACTTCTAATCAGTAAACATTTATTTTGTCTGTCCTGTTCGGGTCAGACAACAAAAACAAATCCTGTCCCCAAACGGGCCTAGTAGATATATCAACTACGTTGAATGCTGGATTATTTAAAATAGACAAACAATTTTTAGTTAAAAATAATATGTTTTACCCCGTCATCTCCAGATTCTTCAGTAAGGTTGGCTTCGTTTCCGGTTTTAAATTTGTCTTTCATATCGAATTTTATTTCGGCCGTTTTTTCCACAATGACTTAACTTTTGAGAAAGTAATAGAAGGCGCCAAATATTTTAAGGATAGTTAGACAAAAGGCAATTTTTGACTATTATCTTCTTAATTCTTTATTTATTTTTTCATAGGTTGTCAGGAACATTCGGCCAATAATCAACAAAAACCGATCCCAAACAAGGATCGCAAGATTATATATTCATATATTCGACTGAAATTTATCAAAAATGTAACACTAATCGATAGAATTAGATTCAAAATGCCTAGATATATAAATATGGAATATAGAACAATCTGTTATCTATTATTTACTTCTTTACCGCACTTCAAAACAACGTTGGTGCAACGTTTGGTAGTTTGGTGTTACTTCTTTGAACGTTTACAATGCCTCGACCCAAATGCAGAGACTGCTAATGAGACATTGAATTATTGAAGAAATTATTAAATAATTAACAAATATAAATACAAATATTGGGTTAAGTATATCATCCAACAGCCAAACTCGTGGTACTAACTAACGTATGCAATCGAAAACTGTTGTCAAAAGAGTTGATTCCTGATCGTAACCGCAGACGTCATGACCCAACATTTGCTGATTTTTGTTTTTTTTTTCCATGGCCATTTGTTATGTCATTTGTCAAACAAATGTTATGTCAGTTAATTATGAGGAATTCGTGGTATGTGGATACGCGCCTTTAAATTTACCGAATTTCCGTATATTAGTGAAAATTTTCTAGTGCAGTTAGTAAAGAGGTGGGATAGACATTCCTAAGTACTTGTTTTGGATTGCAGAGCTAATGCGGTGTATGGTAAACTTATTTGATCCAAAAATCCAATTTGATTACGCCAATATACCCACACATGTAAGTAGGAACCGCTATTCAATGCATAATTTAATGTTTTATTAAAACGTATTAATATGTATTGTTGCTTTATTAGTAAAGTCTGAGACGATCAAAATTGATATTGTTCTTTTCGTGTATTCATCTTTTGGAATGGTATATTTAAATGTCTGTTTCGGGTAGTATACATCAATTGTTTTCGTTTGAACGTCGTAAGTAAAACACTGGAGCGAACAGGTCTAATTTAATCCGCCAAGTCCAATTAGACGGGCTTGCAAAAATTATATATGCCTTAAAGACACACGTACTGATACAATCTATAATTGTAGTATACTTTGTGGCCTTTCCATCAATGTCTTTTTGAGGTATATTTTGCAGAAATTTTAATGTATTGCCACTTTTTAGGTTTGCTGTAGTTAGTAAAGATGAATGGTCAGCCAGTAGCTACGCAAAGTTTATATTCATATACTTTTAAATCGCCCCGAACCCTGGTGGAGCAGCAGTTCGATTATGTATTTAAGAACATTCCATATGATCAAGTGGAAACTACAGGACAAAAAATTGAAAACACTAAACGTTTAGAAAATCTCAAAATTGATAGTTTGTTGCCGTTCACCAATATCTTAACTACAACACCCCTCAAAGAACAGAAACCCAGTGCGGACTCAGTGTTTAAAACATACTCAAGAAAAAGATTATTCGAAGTTGATAGCACCCGTGAACACAATAGTGAAAATTTTGAAAATAGGCTGAAGAGGAAAGCCTTGGGGACTTTGAGAAGGCCCAATAAAAGTAAGCTGAAAAAAGTCAGACTCAACAGTCGAGTGGTACTTGCTGAGATTCCCTTTGGGGGTGCGAGCAATTTAAATTTTGATCCCAACAAAAATTTTCCGGGATCAAGTATGATGACGGATTACTTAGATGAAGACGCCCAGAGAGTTATCAATGGAGACAACTTGTTGGATTGTCCAATTGCAACTTTATTGAATATGGGCAATACATGTTTTTTGAACAGTGTGCTGTATACCTTAAGATTTGTTCCCACATTTTCGCATAATTTGCACCATTTGTTTATGGACTTGAATTTGGTTGGTACAAAATTGAAGGAAAATAAAACAAAAACCTCTTCTTTGGGTAGGAATGGTAGTACCATTAATGGTGCTAGTTGGAGGAGTGCAAGTAGCAAAGATTTGCTTTCCATTGGTAAGCCCTTCATGTTTGTGTTAGTGGTGTTACTGGAATGGGTATTTTCAGGGAATGACACAATTCCGAAATCGGCAAACCAAATTGTAACGGAAAAGTTGCATGCCCTATTTGCAACCTTGAATAATTTGGACGCGAAAGATTCATCCGACCCATACCAGCCCGAAGCCTTATTGCAAGCCATAAGAGAGGCTAATCCTCTATTCGAAGGTAACCATCAGCAGGATGCTCACGAGTTTTTCGTCGAGTTGCTTAGCTCATTGAGGTTAACTTGTGATGAGTTGAATGAGAAGGTATATATTTCTAAGAGGTTTTTCTGTTTTGTTTCGGTGTAAACCAGTTTTTGTAGATCGAACAAAATCCAGATTTGATCCGGGGGCCCGAAGCGGAGTCGGTAAATGTGAACAATAGTAGTAAACCGTGGAAAGTGTCACGGTCATGGCAAAAGTCATTGCGAAAGAAAGAGAAGAACAATGTGAAAAAAATCATTAAAGAGCAAATTCATGGTGAGTGATCGTTAACGTTAGAGGGTAATCCGCAAATGTCAGTTGCTTGTAAGGTGCTTAGATGAAGGAAAAAAAGTTTAGAATGTGTTTTTGAAATCCCTATGGCCTTGAAATGTCTATTTTTGAAGAAATTGTTTATTTGGTTTGGCAGGTTGTACTGTTTTAATCATGGTTGGAGACATTTGGCAGTATTATCTCTTAATCTTAATAAAACAAAATTTATTTCTTTTAGCCCCAAGGTTAAAAGATATTGCAATTCATACAGGAAACTTCCATCCTAGGATATCAGCTGCATAAGCAAAAAAAAGATGTATTCCCTTTTTTATGATTTAAATTTATTTATTTTTTATTTACATATTTACTGTTTAACCATTTTACAAAATTTTTACATTCATATTAAAAGCAAAGAGAGGAAGACAGCAATATAACAACTAGAAACTAGAACAAAATGTAACAATAACAATAAACAGAATTAACTGGCAGCACTCAAACGCCACACGTCAGAATGAAATGGGCGGAGGCTGCCGACAAAAGGATCACTTTAAACAGTTGCACGCTTTCTGCATTCTAATGACGGGTGAATAAACTCCATAATTTGCGCGATGGTAATTAAATTAAAAATGAATTAAAAGGGTATCATGAATGCCACTGCTTGAACAAAATCAAATCAAAACAATAGAAAATGATTATTTTTGTATCTTGGCAAATGCTTAAAGCCAAATTATTTAGAACTTGATTCCTTTGGCTTTTTCATATGCTATTCTTATTTTAAAATTATTAGCAACGTTGCAAAGGGTGAGATGAATAGTTGGACACAAGCAATACAAGGTTAGGTTTAAAATACAATTAAAATGGAACTCCACAAACATTTACATCTCGAAAATTAAAATTACAAAAGCATTTGTCAGGAAGTCATTTATGAGCACCATTCCTGAACCTTTCAACTTCCCTAATTTGGGGTATTGCTTGGAGTAACATTCTAAATGATTTCATTGCCATTGCCAAAAAAACAGCCTTATTACAAGTGTGCAACACAAGGTGTGTTGCACTTCTTGCAAGCATAGACATCTCTTCTAAATGAAAGTTCTAGTTGTTTTTTGTTTTGTTGTTTCACATAAGATAGGATTTTGTAAATATTGTAAATTTGTTGTTGTTGCTATTGTAATAAATCGAAATCAAATTTGCTCGGATTTCAGAACAAGCCATGGCAGACTCTGAAGATAATTCGTCGGTCGACGGTAACGGGGAGGCAAACCGCAAAAAGATGGGTTACAATTTCATTGTGGAAGATTTTGAGGGCGTTTCCTTGCACAGGACTAAATGTTTAGAGTGCGAGGAAGTGAGCGAGCGAAAAGAACCGTTTTTGGAAATACAGGTGCCAGTTAGTTTTCGCGGGGAGGATCTGCCGATCGAGAGCATTTTCGGATCTATTTGTGTGACCTCGGAAAAGTTGTGCGACCAAAATAAGTACTATTGCGGCAAGTGCAACAGATACAACGAAGCTGTCAGGGAGGTAAGCGAACCTATTTACTTACCAAAGAAATTTTTTCGTTACAGGGGGCGGCTAATTAAGGGACTTAAAAATAATAGGAATTTTTTGTTTTAATTTTTTTTTATTACAAATGAAAAATGACGTGGAGTGAAGGTCTACTTAAGTAGACCAAACATTATTTGAAATAAAAACTGCCTAGAATAATCAGATTTCACAGTGTTCCGCAGCGGGTTGTTAGAGCTAGTTTTCTCAAATACTGGGCAGTAGTGAGTACACCCATTAAATTATATGATGCCAGTTCATCACGAGACATCCTTTCTGTCATTGATATTCTCAAAAACAAGAAACCCTGTATTAATACTCCTACAACTAAATAGAGAAATTTGACATTTTTTCAGGTGCTTTACGAAAAACTGCCCAATATAATGGTGCTTCATTTGAAACGATTCACCACAACGCAGTCCGGTATTCAAAAAGTGAACGTTTTCGTCCCGACACCCCTGGAGCTGAGGTGTTTCTGTCAGGGTTGCAGCAGCCTGGACCTATCCAAAATGACGCCGCACCGTTATAAGCTTTGTTGCGTCATCATGCATTTAGGCGCTAGCATGGCTTCGGGTCACTATATCGCCTACACTAGGGCGTCGGTATGTTTTCTCTTTTTTTTAGGTTAGATTAGTGATTGAATCGACTGGTTAGTTTCAGACGCTCGATTACCTGGACTGCTGCCGCGACAATCCGAAAAATTTTCTAACTTCCAGCAGCAGGGACTTATCGTTGAGCTTCCTCAAGTTGTTCAGGCCGAAAGTATTGGGGAAAACTCTCCCGGAAAACCAGAATGGTTTGGGTGCCAAGAAAAGCGATGTTCAGGTATGTACTGAATAAAAATACATTTTTACTTCAGAGTGTGACTTAGAAATATGCAAAATGATAGGTTTTGATTATTATCTGCGGGCTGTCTCTTTCTTCTCTTTTCTCTCTTATATTGTTGGTCCGAGAGAGAGGGAGACAGATTATTAGATTTTTTGATGCAGAAACTTGGAAAATGAAAGTCGGGGAAACTCTGGCGAACAGCAGGATCAGCACTAAATTATCTCAGATTATTCATTATTTTTACTTGTTGTATCTATACTGTTTTCCGATAAATAGGTGTTGTGCTGCTTTGTAGAAACAAATATTTCTGACATCCTGACAAAAGTACGATTAAAATCTATATGTATGTCGGCCTATAAAAGTTTGATTTGGTTGCGTTGGTAAATATTTAATGGTCTGTTCATGTCAAAAATCGAGAGGGCCTGGTATCTTCGACATTTGACTGGTGTCATCGTTCTAAACCACCGATTCGTCTTCCTCATCCAAAATTTATGTACACAACCTCCATTAAAATTTGGGTATCGAATCTATTTTGAGTGAAATATCTAAAAAAAGTTTCAGGCGATGAAAAATTTAACAGTAAAAGTAAAATATTTTTGTATTGGAAAAAAATGCTAAATTTTAGTTATTTATAATAATTTAAAAACTTACAACGCTTTATTGTCTTACACACGAATAAAATATGTTCAGGATGAGTCATATCAAACTTTTAAAGCGAAACTCCCATTTTCTCGAAGACAAATGAAAACTGTGTGAAAATTATCTTCGCGCAACCATCTGTGTAAACAAATCCTTTTGTTCCTACCCGCGTCATCATTCTATTTACTCAGTGGCGCAGTAATGTTGCTGCAATTTGAAGCTACGACTTGGTGCAATTTGTTGCTTAAGCATTTTTTTCTCCACAAACAAGGTGGTTGTGATCAACAGCATAACTTCACTAACAGTTACAAGTTAATATCACCAACCTAATTATCCAGATTTTCCCATCTAAATAAAGCATATAAAATACTAAAATACGAATGAATTAACTTACCTTTATATAATTCGTAAAAATCAAATTTTCCAACCGCAAACTATCTTGGATTTTTAGATCCAGGGTGGTTTTAAAAATCTTGCGTTTTTAGGAACCCTGCAGTTCTATTATGAATTAACTTATTCCTGTATCTCTAATTTCATTTTTTATGAGAAGACTATTGAAAATACAGATAATTTTACATAATTACGAAAACTTAGTTACCTGTGAAGATAAACTTCCATGTGTGTATGTGTGTGTGTAATATTTGTCATATTTTGAGTTAATGTGAGCTATAGGAGAAGAAATGAAGTAAACACTAAAGTATATTAAGACGACTGACACCTTTTTTAGTTAAATAGAATTAATATAAATATTTTAATTTTGTATCTGAATTATCTCTTACTTGTTACAACAATGGAGTATCTCGTAAAATCATCAAAAATCGGACACAGTGTTCACTGTGTCCCAAATTACTTGCAATCACAGGGTTAACTAGCAACGACAGAACTTGTGTGCAAATTTTTGGTGAAACTTTGACGCAAATAGAATTATTGACTTTTTCCATAGAAGAAAGGTAAAAACTGCTGCTTTTACGTTGGTCCAACAAATTTTTTAGACAAACCGCTTTCGAGATATAACTGAACCTACTATTTTATTTTTGCTCCCAAAAAATTCGTTTTTTGTCTTTAAAAACACTATGCACTTGTTTTCCATTAGAACTTATTTCAAAATTTGCTTAGGAATACGTTCTTCATCCGATCTTTCGACGAGTCCATACCATTTTAGTTGTCATTTCTGTATTTCTTCAATTATATTTGATTTGACTTTTATTATTTCTCTTATGTCCTCGTTAATTCTTGTGCGTCTTGATTTACCAGCCGATCTCCATCTCTAGTGTTAATAGTCGCCAAGTTTCGCATCCATACAAGGTTATACCTAAGAGGATACTGTTATATAGCACCTTTATTTTCTTTCAAAAGATGTACATCTGAACCAAAAAATGGGATTCAAGCAGTCAATTACTTGTTTTTTTTTTTTTTCAAAATCCAAACTCAACAAATTTTTATTATTGCCAAACAAAAACTGATATTGTCGCGAAAGACGCTGTTTACTGAGAAACCCTGTGTTTACAAGTACTTTGAGACATGGTGTACATTTCGGCCTAACGCATTTGCGAATTACAAAGGCAACATCTCAACCTTGGGGCCTTACGAACGCTTTATGTTAACATTTTGTTTCAAGGTCTGTCCCAGTATAAACTGTTGCGGCGTCCGTTGTAAACTGAGCCTAGGCTCGCCGAGCCACGACGACGACTGGCTCGAATTCGACGACGAAAAGGTCAAAGTACTGTCGAGCGGGCAGTTCACGGAAATCCTAAACAGGAGATCGGACAGCACAAACACCCCTTACCTGTTGTTCTACTCGAAGGTGTAGTCATCGCGGTCAGTCCAGACCGCAAAATTGACGTTCGTTCGCGTAAGTCGCGCCCTCATTTCGTCGTTGTCATTAATGTTATATATATGTCGGCGCGTGCACATTGCGAAGCAAACCGTTCGACGAATAAACATTCCGATTTCGCATTACGTATCTACGATTTTTCATTTCCGTTTCTCTTAATGACGAGTCGACCAATCGACTCAACGCATCGACTGTCAGTTGAGGTGCTTCCAAACACTCGGCATTAGTAATTAGGGGGAAGGGTTCTCAAAGCGAACAAACTTGCCTCACTTGAAATTCGTGGAGACTGGAGATGTGGATATTGACAAAAATCGGGTCTTTTAATATATACCCTGTTCTCGGAACTATCCAGTGGTAGTTTCTATAGATTGTGGGAGATATACTTCCCCTGCATATGCAGAATGTCAGAGGCTGAGTGAATCGAACTTGACCTATCATTAGATCACCCCGACAAACCAAATCCGATTTAACTAAAAATTGACAAACCATTAACTGTTAACAAATGACACATTTAGTGAAAACAAGTATAGTTTATAGGTATACTTGAAGCTTAAAGGCAATGCAAGTGTAATTAGTACCTCAACGTCTGCTACATATTTTGTAGGTTAAATTATCATTACTTAACCATTTTTGTGAAAGTTATTGTAGTTCCAGCCTCATATCTAAACAAGAGTAAGAAAATAGTAAACAGCTTTCCTTTTATCAGTTTGATCGGAAGTAAATATTGTGTCATATAAAGCAAGACAGTCAATTAGATCGAAGTAAGCAAAATAGCATATTATCTTAAAATTGCCAAGACAGCTTAAAACCAATAGTTTATGAAGCAAATTTTGCGTGTTTGTGTTTGTGGAGATCTGCAGATTTGGCCGATTTTGATTCACTAAGGTGCAACCTCTTGTAGAATACCTTTAATAAGTGCCTTTATATTTGTTAGCTAATGTAATAATGCATAGGGTGTCACAGCTTGTACAAGACAATTTTCTAAGATTAAAATCTTAGACATATAAACATGTATTCTTAGGAGCTTCGTTTCCTATACAAAAAGCGCCAAAGTTTTGAAAGCCATTTAACACTCGTATTGGCCTCAAATATTAATTTTTCCGGTGTACTTACTGGTGTACCAAGTTTCAACCGATTATGTTCAGATATTCTGTATTCTGTAGGAGATGAGAAAACTTCTCCTCTCCTCTCATAAAAATATTTTTATATAAGGTATTAATCCTAAAAAATTATCTTCTTACAATAAATTGTCACGCCCTGTATATATGTTTCATTACTTTTTCTGCATAATCGTTACGTTTACAACTTTATAGAATCCACGAATGTTGAATATGAGGTTTTTCAGCTGCAGCTCGCTTGATATTGTGGTAAACTATATATTCAAATTCCAATTTTATATTGCCTACCATTACTAGTAGAAACTAGATATATTTAACAGAACAGACTGAAAAAATATTACAGAGAAATAGATCCGAGAATGGGGCTTTATTCAAAACGCGGATGAGATTGTCCATTCAGCTACCACAGCTTCAATTTTATTATTTTCCTTTTGTTTCAAGTCTTTAACCGCATTTAATTTCAAACTTAAAACAAAACTGGGTGTTAGTTGTGACTACTATCAGCATTAGAGTTTGTAGAATTCTAAACAGAAGATTTTAATTTTATTTTCGCGTCTGTTCTGTTTTTTTTTTCAAAATTAATGAATCACTTTTCACAATTATTGCCAATCGGTAAGTTTTCACGTCTGCTGTAACTGTAGAAAATATATTTCTTTCATTATCTCGCAGCAAATGTCATTCCTCCCCCTAAAATACTGCTTTCCATAAAAGAAGGTAATAAGTCGTCTGTTTATGATTTGTTATCAGTAACGATTGTATTAGTAATCTTCATCGAACTTTCTATCGATTAAGAAGGCACGCTGAATTTACAGATCAGTGGTGCTATTAAACATTGCTCTAATATTGTTTTTTTAATTGAAACAGGGGAACATTTATCTCATGTAGTTAATATGCGGCATTTGAACAAAAAAGTGATGTTTCGGTTGGTGTACTTCAGTATCGTTATGTACATATATATTAATATCGGCATGTAATATTATCTGGGAACCTCGTACCGATCAATTAGGTTAAATGTACATTTATTTTTCGCATGTTTACATTCTTAGGGTAAGTAGTTAGATATATTGTTTCTCCACAACTTTAGATATTAATAAATTACATTTCACGTTTTTTATTACAAAAAAAAGGTTGTACAAATTATACAATTTTTTTAATGTTATTTATAGATTATTCTCGAATTTATGTAAAATTGTTAAATTTAAAAGTTTTACGGGACGGTAATGTGTGAAAACCTTATTAAAATTCGGTGTCGGTTTACAGTCATAAACTTTGTGTCTAACTGCCGAGCGATGAAGAATCGACGCTAAAGCCTGCATATTTGAATTAATTTTCCTAATATTTTGATTACTTGTTTGTTTAATAATCAAATAGCCAAACCAAAAATCTGTCTAGCATAGTGTACTAAATTTAATAGTTAATATAAGACAGTTAAACGCGTTTTAAGCGTAGCTTAGCTAGCGGTGTCGATTGTGAACAGTCTCTGCTAAATTTGTGATTTAAAGCAAAGTTAAAGCAAACATCGATCGGTTGTATAAAAATATAATCACGCTTCCAGAAAGTCGAAGTTTGCTTTAACTTAAAAAAAAATATAATTCAGACCAGTATTAAAAATTTAGGTTAGGTATAAATAATTCGTGATATTAGAGTTAACATTAGTTATTGGTTTATTAATTTCATATCGGGCGGTGGTTTTATTGGTCCTTCGTTATCCTGGAGAGTAGTTCTTTTCATGCGAGTGGCCTATCATTGATATTAGAATAATGTATGCCTGAGACATTCATATTAGATTGATATTTCAGTTCCCTAAATTCGCATCTTGGTTCAGTGTTTGTGACTTAAGAATATGTCTCTGTTGGTTACACTTAGTTTATTATTGTCGGTTGATTGTACCATTAACACAGACCACAAAACGTTGTAAAATTATTTAAATATGTGCCCCGAAAAGAAAGGAAGCTGTATGTAGTCGCCAACGCCATCGTAAGCCAAAGGCCTAGCTAATTGTCTGTAAATAAAAACACGGTTCTTCTAGAAAATTCTTGAAAATTAAGTTTTTTGAAGCAAATTTTTATAGCTATAAAATTTGAATTGAATTTTTTAAGTTATATATTAACGACGTTCCATTAACGGTTTTTCAAGTTAATCATTTGTCCATTATAATCACATTATATACAGTGTGTCTATTGACGTTCGTTAAAATTCGTCAATTTTGTTGTGCCCAGCGGTCTCTATTAACAATATCCATATATTGTTTTATTTACAACTGACTCCAAAACAGTGTTAAACACTGGTAGCGGAGTATATACTTACAATTAATTTAATTAAAAAAATCTATTTTTGCGAGGAGAAAATCAAGATCACAAAGCTAACATTAATGAGAAAAGCAAAGATACTAAAATGAAAATACAGGAAAATTAAAGATATCAAACAACAGGAACCTTTTGAAAAGGAAGAAAAAAAAAAGAGTCGATTATTATAATCGGTCAAGTCATGTTCATGAACACTTAACTAAAAGCGCTTTTATTCACTATGTGAAATAGATAAAAAAGTTAAACAATAACATTTTATAATAAAATAGTTAGTGGAAATAATTTTTTCTACTCCTGTAAAATACCTAATTATATTTCAGACTCGTTCTTGAAGATTACACATAACGGAGTACTATGACCCCGGTGACGCCACGAATTCATAGCCTGAAAACAAAAAATATACCCCGTCCGGTTCCTCTTCACCGCCGACCTCTTTCGATATTCTAATTCGTAACTGTATACGTGTAATTAGAGAGACTAATTTTTTTCCCAAGTATACTAGTAGTGTTGTAATCCCATAGTGATAAATAGAGTGAGAAATGGGAGGTGGCGCTAATATTAAAATCGGAACAATTAGCCAGGCAAATACACAAAAGTGCCGGTAAGGAATTGTGTCGGGTATCGAGCATCAGGAAGATGTTTACGAATTAGAAGGTAAGCTGTAATAATTGCTGCATCGAGTATTTTAGGCATCGAAGATCAGTACTTCACAAACTTATTTATCTGCGCACTGCAAAAAAAAGGGTTGCACCCCTGGTTGGGCTTATTAAGTACCTCACAGAAGTGAAGGGTTTCGTGTCTGGAGTCTACTTTAAAAGGTAGAAAGGTAGAATGATAAATTAGAAAGCAGAAACCACATGTAGGTTATTGATCGTCCTTTTCTTAAGTGGGAACGGAATGTACAAAGTCTTATCTTTCGGTTAAAGGAGACAGGCATAAAAAAGAACTGAATTGGCTTTTACTTGATGAAAATCCATTTATCAAAATAAATAAGAACTAAAAGTTATATATATATATATATATATATATATATATATATATATATATATATATATATATATATATATATATATATATATATATATATATATATATATAGCTTTCAGAACTAACAACAGAATAGGAAAATATTTAAAAAACAATAAAACGAAATGTCCAAAATCCCAAAAATCAGGTGTCTACAGGTTGAAATGTGGATCTTGTCCTAAAATTTATATTGGACAAAGAGGTAGATCCTTCAAGAAACGCATAATATATAATTTCGTGAAAATCTGAACTTTTAGTTCTTATTTATTTTGATAAAAAAGTATTGCACGGAACTCAAAATTGCTTACTTAAGCACGTTACAGCGGAATCGCAATTTAGAGCCACCCAAGTTAAATCCGTAGATTAATACCTCGTTAAGTGACATTGCCAGAAAACGCGATAATCACTTAATAGACACTCAGAGATTGCTTGGAATAGCAATTGCTCCGTTAGGCTTGGTGATCTCCGAACTGTTAGAAAACAAAGAGGAGGGAGTGGATAGACCGGACATTTTGGAAATAATATGTGATGTTGGAAAAGTGTTGACTGAAGAGGATCATGTTTAGGCTTTGGCTCCTAAAGCGTTTATTTCCCCTGGACTAGATAAAAAAAGCTCTTAGATTCGAATACAATTGGCACTCATTTGTTGGAGAGAATCTAACTCAAAAGATTGATGAAGCAATGGCAATCGGGAAAACAAATTTGGCATTGAAACTCAGTTTGACGTTAAGGTCAGGGAGCTACAACACCAAGAAGCAATCTACTCTGAGTACCAGGAAGTTAAACTTGAAAAGCCCAGCTGTTTCAAAGAACAACAGAGGTTTAGCCAAGGATATCAGGATATGTAGCATTGAATAAATTGTTAGTTATAGGGGGTGTATAGCCTTGTACATTTGAAGAAGGTCAGGTTATTTCACCTTATTTTTTAGTTCCCAAACCAGGTGGTGCAAATCCTTTTATATTAAACTTAAAACGTTTAAATAGGTTTATCGATACAGACCAAATTAAGATGGAAAATATACAATTATTATCGCAGGTTGATTTTTTAGGGTCAGTCGATCTTCAAGATGCATATTATCATACCCATCGATAACAATAGTAGAAAATTTTTAACGTTTGTTTTTAACAGTAGATTATTTCAGTTTTGTTGCCGGCCATTTGGTTTATGTACCAGCCCATATGTGTTTACAACAATTTGAAATATGAAACAAAATATGAAAGTTGTTTAGATAACATATATTCAACGGCACCCATATATACTTATTTAGGTTTCCTTATAAATTACAGAAAGAGTTCCCTGATTTCGCAAACAACTTATACCTTCAGGAAAAGCAAGTAAATTAATGGCTAGGTTAAGATAGTTTTCTGGTAGACGATGTTGTAGAATTAGAGAGTTTGCGCGGTTAGTAAGACATTTAAGTTGTCCTGCCGTAACTTATGGGTGGATGTGTAAACATCTATCATCTATCATATGATTATTTCGAAGACTTTAAAGGAAGGAAGGAAGCATCAGGTTTCGGGAAAGAGGAAAGTCAGTTTCATATAAAATTCCTAGAGCGGATGGCAGCGTTCATTGCTTTAAAGTCCTTTGCAAAAGACGTAGAAAACTGCGAAATCCTAATTAGATTAGATAGTACAGCAATATCATATCTAAATGGAATGTCGGGTGTTCAGTTTCCTTGGTTAAATGGGTTAGCTAGGTCAATTTGGCAATGGTTTGAACTTCGCAACATAGGGTTATTACATCCCATCCAGGGATAATTCGATTTCAGAGGAACAATGTAGAACCAGAGAAATAAATACAGAATGGGAATTAGCGTATTGGGCTTTCACGAAAATAGTTAAAACATGTGGTGAACTCCAGATTGATTGTTTTGCATCGAGTGAACAAAAAACGCAAAGTGTATTTCTCATGGAATAGAGATCCTGACTCATTAACCATAGACACCTTAATAATCTCTTCTTTATGCCCTTTTGAAGAAAATAATATTGGAAAAATCGGAGGGGATCTTAGTTGTACCCTTAGGCACTGCCCAATCTTGGTATCCCGTGTTTCTTTCTCTGCTTGTATTAAGTTATTTTTAAACCTGATGTAGGTTTACGTCTTTCGTTTTTCAGAACAGTATACCATCCATTGGCAGCTAAGCTTACGTTGATAGCAGGACGCCTATCAGGGTAGCGTATTTCTTAAAGAATCTTCCAGGGTCATCTTATAATATTTTATTAGCGTCTATCTCTAACGCCACATATGATTCAGCACTAAAACAGTGGTGGTTTTTTTGTTTGACTAATGGAGTCTCCTTTTAAATTTACTGTTAATAATTCTTTAACTTCTTCTAAACTTCGAACTCTATAAGGTCTGCGATTTCCTTAATTTCTTATGATGCTGATACATGCAAAGTAACTAGAATTTTTAAAGGGATTTTTATGCAATGCCTATATATAACAAGCTATGGGATGTGTCACTCGTTTTAAATTTTATCAGGACAAACTTTCCGATTGAATCTTTGTCGTTACAGAAACTCACGGACAAGGTATTGATTTTGTTGACTTTCATAACTGCACGTGGGGCTCAGACGTTATCAATTGTAGATATTGATAATATAAAAAAATTTACATCTAAGATCGAAATAAGGATACCCGATATTATTAAGACATCGGCTCTCGGTAAATTTGAACCTAGTATTACCATTTTTTGAAGAAAAACCAGAACTTTGTGTAGCAAGTACTCTTATACATTATCTGGAACGGATCAAGCTTTTAAGGGGTAATGTGAAAAGCTCGTTTGTTTCGTTTAAGAAACCGCACAAGGGGGCGGGGACACAGACTATTATCACCGTGGATTAAGTCTATAATTGCTTCAAGTGGGGTAGACATTTTACAGCCTATAGTTTGATATATATGCCCTTCAAAAGTTATTTTGAAGGGCATATCACTAGATAGTATTCGATCTACTGGACTAAGTCCTCATCAGTTTTTGCAAAATTTTATAACAAACCCATTACGGAAGAAAAATAAGGCTTTGGTTTATCTCTTTGAAAAGAATAGAAGTGTGGATGAAGCGTTATTATTTATTAAGTGTTGAACTTTAATGTTAGATTAAATATTCTGTTTCTTTTTAAGCCTGTTAAGCCATCTTTATATTATTTATGTTATCTTTGGTCAGAAATCAGATTTAATTTTGTAGTGGTTTAATAAGTTGCTTATTGTGGGGAATGTATTAGGTGGAATAAAAATACTTTTCGCTTTAAACATCTACGTTATGTATAATCTTGACGAACGAGGCTGAAATATAATTAAATGATCAAACCTAAGTGAAGTTTGATCATAATTATATGAAGCCTCTTTTGAAAGATTACATACCGCGCTTAAAAGGAAATTATAAAGGAACCCTTACCCAACAGCCTTTTTATTAGCTTTAAACGTTACGAAGAGGGCCGTGGCGTTACCGGCTTGTGGTCATTAGGTGTAATCTTTCGAACGAGGTTTCATATAATTATGATCGAACTTCACTTAGGTAAGTTCGTTTGATCATTTATATATACCGATCTAGCGTGCGGGAAGCGTCAATTCTGCCGGTCATGTTAGTGAATGTGTTATTGTTGTTTTGCAAAAATGTACCCAAAAACTGACGGTCGCAGAAAAGGTATAGTATGAATTAACTACTCGGCACGACCGTTGCCTTTTTTAAAAACTTTTTTTAAATGTACAACCGTTTTAAAATGGTCTGTTGCAATAACATATCTAGACAGAACTGTTCTTGACTCCGTTAAACTACGTTTTTATATGTAGAAATAGGACTCTGCTGGGTCAGCATTCTTGGATCTTCGCTAGTGAGATAACTCCTCCCCCGTAAGCTTCAACTATACCGTCAAGAGGGGTAGTTGAACACATTTTGGATCCTTAGGTTCTTCCACGTCTTGCTGCTGTTTCTTGCTGGATTTGGTGCATCTTGCCTGTAACAATCTTCTATAGCAAATTAATAGACACAAACTGATTATGACCATGTATACAAGGATGGTCCATATGCTCGGATATTTGTAAAACTCCGAGAACTTCAGAAGTGGGTAATTTAACTGAATTTCATTCCTTAAAAGGTTTAGTTCATCTAACTTAACTTCATTTAATTTGACAGTTAAATCCATCTGGCTTTGTTGTGTTGGAATATCTGGCAGATCAGGAAATAATATTGGCTGAGTACTAAGGTTGATTGATCTGACATCACTAATTATTGTGTGATGATCAATTTTGACGAGGCATCCTCTTGGAATTTTGGCTTGGTATGGCCCATGAAGATTCTGAATCTCATCCTGAGCGTTGCATTTAAGTTTAACGCTCTGTACATCTGGGACTACTAAAATCCATTGATTGGAATTTTCTAGTTGATTAACTATTAGCTGGGTGATTTTGAGTTGTGTTTTGTGGCAATTTGTGATTTGTGGATTTGTGCTCAACAAGGCTATTTCGCAAGGACTGCTGTTGTCGTTATTCTTGATTTCTTGTTGGGTGCAGACGAATAGACCTTTAGTAGCCTCTTTGCAGGGCCCATTATAGTATGCATGTTGCAATTCACTTTTTATTAAATATTTTGCACGGTAAAACATCCCTAAACCAACTCTCGTGTCTTATGGGGATTGAGTAGAGATGAAAGTAATCGAAAATTATTGGATTAGTCATTGGTATTCTCAAAAGGTAATTGATTTTATTATTCAAAATAAAACAGTCAATAGTAATTAATTTCTCAAAAATAAAAGTGTTTTCTAACGTTACAGGTATAATCATTTGGTGATACTTGGGTGAATAATTTTCAATTTTGAGAAAGTTATTGAATTTTCTAAGTCTTGTAAAATTGATAAAATTACTTCATAGCAGTTGATCATTTGTACCAAAATATCTTTAATAATTAGTGCGTTCTCCCTATAGGCTGACTTTTGAACAATAAAAGCTATTTGATTGATCTTTGACTCTAAGTATTTGTCATTTTAAGACATTTTCTGCAAAGTCTGGTTAAATTTTATAAGAATGTTAAGGGATAAAGAATTTTGTTTTAAAATGCCTTCGGCTAACTCATTTTCGTTGCGCTGCAAGTTTTTAATAAGCTGTTCATAATGCTCGCCGTCAGATGCGTTAAGATTTCCGGTAATAGCCTTAAAAACAGATCCGAGTGCATTTATTAGCCCTCTCTTAGATCTTTTTTGATGCGGAAGGATTTCTATAATTTTATTTTCAATCCTAGATTCCAAAATGTTTAGAAGTTTAATATAATTTTGACTATCATTGTAATATCCCGGGTGGCTGGATATTATTTTTGAGACATTTTCCTTTTTTAGATATAATTTATTAGTTTCCAATATTATTGGATTTAAATCAAAATAATGGATTAAAGTGTAAGTGTATTCGATTGATTTTGAATTTCCCAATTTTACTGGCATTATTCCGGGGTTGTTGTCCAATTTTCTTAAAGTTATTTCATCATAAAGGCCACAAGTGAAGCCGACAAGCCTGAAATGTAAAACCTAGTGTTAACGGAATTTAATCAAAACTGTACGTGTTTCTAAGCGGTTTTTTTAGATTGTCCATATGTAATTTTGTTTGCGTATCTGTTGCTACCGTATGTCGCTCTGGGTTCGCGGATATAATTTCAGTGGATTTTGAGAATTTATCTCCGAATTTTTTGCGTTCATGTTTTCGTATATACACCTGTTGGTTGGTTTGAAACAGGTCCGGACTGTCACGGGTTTCGTTTCGTTTTTCAATTATTTTTGTTTTATTTTCGATTAGATCTTGATTGATTTTTGAATATGGTAATTTTGATTTTTCTTTATGTTCACTTACGTAATTACTTAATAGTAACTGGTCCAGTTTTTGATCAAAGGGGTCATCAGAAGTTATATAACCATTTATTATGTCAATGGGTTTTAATTTGGTGACGGAGTGGACAGAATGATTATAGGCTAATATAGCATATATCATTTTACAATATATTGGGGACTTTTGAAAGCCTTGACTATTTAATAATCGAATGTGCTCGGCTAAAGTAGAATGAAGTCGCTCGACATTGCCGTTTGATTGCGGATGGTGGGGCGAGCAAAAATGAATTTTTATTTTATGTAAGCTTAGTAACTCTGTAATAACTGTATTTTTAAACTCGGTACCATTATCAACAATTATTTGTTTTGGTATACCGTGGTGAGAGAAAAGGTTTATTAAGTTATCAGCTATCTCGGTAGCTGCGGCAGATTTTAAACAATAGGCTTGCGCATATTTTGAAAAACTATCACATATAGTTAAGAATTTAGTTTGTTCTAAAGCGTATGTATCTAAAAATATGATTTCAAAAGGACGAGATGCGGTCGGCGTTATATTCATTTTGATGTTTACTGGGTGCCTTTCATATTTGGTTCTTTGGCAAATTTCGCATTGATTGATATAGGTTTGTATTGATTTTTTGAGATTTGGCCAATAATATCGTGCTTTGATTTTTATTTCAGTTTCGTCTATAACGCGATGATTAGTTTTGCTCTCGTGATAATTTTTTATTATTTCAGGAATGTCGTTTTTATTTGTTACATCTAGTAATTTAATGGTACATCTCTTAAAACGAAAAGATGGATACTTAAAAGTTTTTCTTATCACTTCACAAAACGGTTCATAAAGTTACGGGTTCTCGAAATAGAGATAGTAAAGCTTTTCGGGGACTACAAACTCTTTGACAAAGTTAATTACATCATTTTCGAAATTGTTTTCGGAAAGCTGTACTAAAAATCGTCTTTTCTTTTCAAAAAGAATGGTGATTTTTGATTTTGCCGGGGAATGTAATACTTTAGAAATAATAACTTGGTTGGCACCGTAGTTCACTGCGGTTTCTATAATGGGTATCCCGACTATTGGGTCTCCCTCGTAGTTCGTGTGTATGGTGACGTCGTCCTCAGCTGGTTGTTGTCCTAGGTCAATGTGTACGTTATGCGGGTTTTGGTCGTTTGTATAAGTCGACATAGCGTCGGCCTGCGCCACATTAGAAATTAGGTCTAGATTTTGATCGGGATTATCGGATATTTGTTCTAAGGATTCTAATTGTTTATTAAAATCTTCGATGTATTCTTTTAATGAAAAAGTACTACTCTCTTTAGTGTGAAGCCCTATCCGTGAAAGTGCATCTGCATTTGTGTTGGATTTGCCAGGTTTATATATAATGGTGTAGTCAAATTCTTCAAGTTTTATACGCCATCTTAATAATTTAGAAGAAGGGTCTTTTAGGGGCATAAGCCATTGAAGAGGGGCATTGTCTGTAATGATATTGAATTTACGACCAAACAGGTAAGGGCGAAAATGTTTCGTGGCCCAAACTATAGCCAAAAGTTCTCGCTCAATGGTGCTATACTTTTGTTCGCTGTCATTTAAGGTACGTGAAGCGTATGTAATAGGAAGATCTTTCCCAATTGTGCCCTGTGATAGAATTGCTCCTAGAGCTACATTGCTGGCGTCTGTTGTAAGGTTGAACGGTTTACTAAATTCTGGGTATTGAAGTATTGGTTCGTTAGTCAGTACATTTTTACAGGTTTCGAAACAAGACCGAAATTCTTGATTGTGAATTATTTTAGCACCCCTTTTTAGACATTTTGTTAGCGGTTTTCCCAATTGTGCAAAGTTATCAATAAAGCGGCGGTAATAACCTAAAAGGCCTAAGAAACCTTTTATTTGTTTTGTGGTAGTGGGGATTGGATAATTTTGAATTGCTGTTATTTTGTCATAATAACATTGATCAAATTGATTAGATTGATCGAATTGATCGAGTTCCGTGTTGTACACCTCCTCGACTTCCATTTTTTGCGGTTTTTGAGATGTGCTTGAAATTTTTAAAATTATTTTGGTTATTGAAATTTGGTCTGCCACTGTTGCGCGTAGACACAGACATAGGCATAGGTGGAGGTAGATTTTTAATTTGGTTGGGTCTAAAGACATTCGGGGGTCTGCTAAAAACTTGTGAATTTGTATAGTATTTTTGCGGGGGTCTATAAACTGGCCTAATATCAATTGGACCGGTGGGAAATGCTTGTTGCTGATGTCTAAAATGATTTGGGTTATGCCCATTAAATTGCATATTTTCTTTGGAAAGAAAATGTTGGAAATGCTGCTTATTATGTTTTTAATTCTGAGGTGGCTGATTTTGAACTATTTTGGTCATATTTAGAAAATATTGCGTGCTACTTTCTTGCATTACAAATGTTAAGGCTTTCGACAGGCTATCAGGTTGCATACATCTAATGGTTGTATCAATAGGTTCTTTTAAGCCGGACATAAATGTTTTCAAAGCAAGGTCGTTATAGAGTATACGTTTTATTTGTTTTGCTTCATTAGTCGTTTCATGCGTATCAATAAATGAACAAATCAAATTTAGGATATGCAAAACTCGATCGTAAAATTGAGTCGGTTTTTCATTTGGCTGTTGGCGGAGCATCACTAAATCTCTGTTAAGACATGATTCGTCTCTTTGGTCCGCGAAATTTCTATACAAAATATTTTTTAAATCATTCCAAGTACTGGATGTTTGAAGATTGATCACGACTTTTGCATTTCCTTTCAATTTACTAATTAGACAATTCAACAAGTACATATTTTCGAAAGAGTTAGGTTCTCTACCATTATAAAATTTATCAATAAAAGTTTGACAAATAGTTAGGTATCTAGATAAATCGTTTGGGTTCCCATCGAATTCTGGGACGCAGTTGAGATATTCAGATTTAAAAGAAGCCATACTTATAAGAGATTCACTAAATTGACTGTCTGATTCTAAATTATGTTTTTCAAAAATAGTTTCCAAATTTGTTGCGAAATAATTTTTCTGACTTGAGCTGGTTGAAGGTGTATTATTACTTAAATCGATAGCTAACGTTTCAATATTATCAAATATTTCGTCAAGTTCCGACATTAACAAATAATTGCAGCTTACAGTACTAGGTAGGAGGCGGTTCTGGTCATCCCTTCTATAAGGACAAGACTTCGATCGGCGATCCACTCTGTCAAACACTAATCACCAATAGGTCCGATTTCCAATTAATCGATGATACGAAAAATCGACGTCGCGATGCGGTGCGCTAGTCAATTTCTGGAAATCCTACTACGACTGCTCCAATTAACTACTCGGGACGACCGTTGCCTTTTTTAAAAACTTTATTTAAATTTACAACCGTTTAAAAATGGTCTGTTACAATAACATATCTAGACAGAACTGTTCTTGACTCCGTTAAACTACGTTTTTATATGTAGAAATAGGACTCTGCTGGGTCAGCATTCTTGGATCTTCGCTAGTGAGATTACTTATGCAACACGTTTGGTAAACTTTTTAAGTCACTCGTTTATTAAATAGTCCCTCCGCTCGTGTCAAATAAACTCGTGACTCAAAGGCCGTTTACTGCACTTGTTGCATAATATACGGTTAATACGTTACAATAGGCTGGCAAAATATTGGTACGCGTTTTTTTTTTCAGGCGCCGAGTATTCGGAAATCGGTTCGTAGTTAGCGAGTGTTGAGTTTCTTACATTTGTTATGAGTACTTTGTCCGCGTAGTCTTTGAGCTCTACAATTTACATGGCGAAAACTATTCTTGGCTCCGACGTTATAAAAGTTTCAAAAGGCAAGCAACAATCCAGGCAAAAGTTAAAAGCATTTAAATGTATTAATTTATGTAAAACAAAATATGATAACAAAGAAGTCTAATTATTTTATCTATTTTTCACACAGTTCAAATTTTAAATCAAAAATTTACTAAATCTATTTTTTTTATCACCCGGTAACTCGGTTAGCACGCATTTCCGGATATATATTTATATAAGATTTTCTTTTCTTCAAAAATATAAGTTTTGCCCACTTTAAACTTGAATTTTTGTGTAAACAGGTACATATTAACAAAACTTTTGTGGTTTTCGTCATCTTCAATATATATTTTCTTTTGGAACTTTTGCTTCAAATAATTCCAAAATTTATCTCCAAAAATACTTTTATTTTTAGTCAGACTTTAGTTTAGCTCTCATAAAGAAGAGTGTAGAGGTAAATGCCCTTAAAATTATGTACAAAATATACAGGGTGTTTCAAAACAAATGCGAAGAACTTAAGGGGGTGATTCCTTGTTTAAAATAAATAAGCCCGTCTATTGATTTTTTTTCCATGTGATTGTCAAGTTTTTCCTTAAATTTAGTTACGAAGAATAATGGAAAATTAAAAAAATATGTACAAAGTGTGTTTTTATAATAGTAATACTTTTCCGCCATTTTTGTAGCACGATATCTCCCTTTTGAACAAACGTTTACATGACTCCTTATTTTAAAGAAACACCCACTTAAGTTTTTTGCATTTGTGTGGAAACACCCTTTATGTAACTATTTTTAAATGATTAAATTTCGTTCTTCATGAGTTCCATTACCCAGTCTGGACTAAGTTAAAAGTTCAGTTGGTTCGTTACGAAATTTACAAAAACTATACTTAATCATATTTTTTTCTTTGTTTCAAGTAATAGCATAGTTACAGTTATTAGAATTACCGGAAAACAGGAAGAATTTTTTAAGAAAATTGTAATCAAATTTGCAAAAGATCATATTATATTCTGTTAATAAATATTTCTTCATTTTTTGAATGTAATAAAATAACCTCAGATATTTTTTTAGTGAAGCTATTTTGCTCCGTTGGCTTTTTAAATATCAAAGGAAAAACTGTCATTGTTATTCATACGTCACATTCATTCCGAATAACTTATATATGGTGGAAATGATGAATAAACCAGCGTAAAAAAATTGTTTTTAATGGTCAAATTACAGTTTAAAAGTGGATACTGTGTGTTGCTCAGTCAGTATGGCGACGTTTGAGTACCACTATTGTAAAAAATAAGACTGAAGAAATATTAACAGGAGTTTTTATCTGCTGCCAATTAACAAATAGCGTCAGTGTTTGTTGCTTTTCGAAGCGTTGAAATTCTTTCTTAAAAATTTATTAAATTAAAATTATACTTTCTGAGTCTAATTTTTCAAAGAAACTTCCACAGGCTACTATAATACTATTTACAAATCTTCTGGGTTGCTGCTCCGTCGGTTGACTTTTCGCCAATCATCCTGTTGCCAAGGGGATGATTATCGAAACGCGATCAGGACGCAGGAAATTTGCGATATTCTTTCGTAAAGTCTGCGAACAATCCAATTTGAAATACTCCTAAGCTTTTTTATATAAATATACGCATAATCTCAATATACTGTTTTATATGAAACTGTAAATTTAAGTATAATAAAATAAAAGCGTCTACCTCTCCTCCATTTTCTTCCACGTTGTTTGTTTTTGACATTTCTTAAAAATAAAATCGAAAAATCGCACTGGGGAAGTGTATAGTGTTTATAGAAATAAAAAATATCCGGTTTTTATTTATAAAATATTGCCACATTCTTACTTACTTTTATTTACATCAAACATTAAAATGTATGGAAAAAGTCAAAGAGATAAGAAGAATAATAATAACAATACTACACACAAAACGCATAGCTAATAATGTATAAAAATAGATAACATTTTATTTACACAAACGATACTTTAGAGAAATTAAAAAAAAATTAAAACTGATTTAGTTTTGGTTAGTTTTAAAATTCCTAAGTTCATCTTTGTTCTATATTTTCGTAGGCAGTACATTAAGCATTTATATTCCTATTGAGTCAGGAGAATTCTATTCACAGATAATTAAAGGGGGCTCTGACTACTTGCTTCACTATTTAATATAAATCGGTGTTCGAGAATAAGAATACCCGCCAAAGTCTCAGGCCCGGCGTGCTTCTGAGGGTCCTCTTCATGCTTTTGATGACACACACTGCCTTAGAGACCCTCCGAAGAAAACCCGTCCTACCTCAGAGCAGATGCTTTTTAAAAATGATACAGATTAATAATTTGCTTTGTTGTTAATATTTGCCTTAAATTTCGTAAAAAAAACTCTATGAGTTGATAGTGATTTGTTTACAATTTACATTTTAGTCTACTATAATTCCAAGAAACTGCTTTGTGCTATCGACCCTTAGCACCATTTAGCAATCAAGAGTACAAAACGGATCTAATTTGTTTTAGTTGTATGTAAGTACAAAGAATTCAACCACTTCAAGATTTGTATTAATTTTTGCTTCCAATTGTTTATCATCTTTTAAAAGGAAGAAACATCGTTAATTTTTTGCACAGTAGAAAGTGATAGCTTTACAGAAAGGACAGCCACATGCTCGCTATGGGCTTTACGATATTCCGCGCATATCCCAAAATTTCACACTTGGGGCTACACACTTCTCATTTTTCAAACCTAAACTGAACCCTCTTCTCAACATTTTTCTATGGTCGTATAATCAGCATATATCTAGTTTTCTATTAACGTAACATCAACTTAGATCTTTTAACCTACATCATTATCGGTTTCCAGTCATTAAGTTATTAATTTAATTATAAATATTTGAATATTTGTCTCAATTTGTGTGCTAACGTAAGTGCTCGTAAGCAATTTTCTTGTCAATCTTGATTTTTTCTTCCTAGCTTTAGAGTTATTGGAGGAAATATAATAATGTATGTTCTCAAACGAGTCACTTTTCTTTCTAGTTTCTTGACAGCTTAACAGCTTACACGGAACACCTTAACTCGAATTAACTTTAGTCTTAGGCATAATACGAACAAAGGAACGTCGATATAAAACGAAACTCTGTAATAAACGACCGTCATTTATTGACACCACTGTTCTGTTGCGTTATTAAATTTGTCTCGCCGACCACCTGTGTATAAATCGAGGAAAATACTTTTTACCGTTTTAAGTACATGTATAATAATAAATATAAAAAATATACAATATAAATAATGTATAAAATCGGGAATGATATTTGTAAATTGACTGTAATAAATTATTGACATTTTAATTTAAATAAAGTTTTGTTTATAAACTGGGCGGCGCGTTTTCGTTCATTCCTTCGAATACGCATCCAGTATGGCCTCCATTTCCTGTCCGTGTTTTTGTTGCCATTGCACGTTTATTTTCACCGTTTCCAACGATTGGTCCACCCCCTGTTTCACTTCCGAGAAGTTTTGCTGGTTCGCGTGTATAAATTGTTCCAGCTGCAATCGTACGAAATTTTATCGGACAACTTTAAACCAAAGTAGACATTTCAGTTGACATTAATTACAATTTGTTTCCGTTTTCTCACTCTCACTCAGTATTGGCGATTTTACAATTCACGAAGAGCCCTGGCGGAAAATACGTTAATCTACTTGAGAAGTAAAACTTTTGTATCTACCTATAGCGCACTTTAGGAAAACTGCAGCAATAACTGCAAGTACACTTCACTTAATTTCATTTCATTTCATTTCATTTCATTTCATTTAATTAAATAATGTATTTTATGTATAAAGAAATTTTTTCCCAAAAATATCTTGGGAACTATGATGTTTACCAAATTGGTACAATAGAAGACATGACTGATTGCCAAAGTAATGAATCAATTAATATTGCAGAGGATAAAGTAAATTCCTCAAAAAGTTTTACATTATTTTAAAAATTCGAAGAGCAAGGATTCAAAAAAGATTCTTGCAAAACAAGCAAGTCACACTGTCATAAATCCAATAACAATAAAAACAATCGCGCACAAATAATAAGTTATGTTCTCAGATGTTCATTTACTTTGGTGGTCTTACAATAAAGCCTAAGCTAAATATCAATTTTTCGACCCAGTGTTCAAGGGTGACGTCAAAATATCACTCCCTAATATTTTGAAAAATTGCATCATAAATAAGTAATAAATGAAATCGAAATATCAACTGTCTGGCTGGTTTTTGCAAATCTCAAGATTTGGTGCCCTCCTGGGATGTCATTCGAAGAAAAAAAGACACATTTTTGCACGCTCACCTCTTCCAGCTCCTTGGCTTCTGTCATTTGGGCAGCGATCGACGACAAATACCTGCTGATCCGCCTCTTGTTCGGCGATACACTGAAAATTTCATTGAATATAGAACTTTAGAGCAGATCGATGCCCGTAAATCGACTCACTGTTTAAAGATTTCGTTGACGTTGTCGAAGAAGAAGTTCTTGGCTATAAAATAACCCACGTCGTTCCTAGCTACTGCGCTGAACACCGAACTGCTGTCCTGTCTTCTAATTTTCGAGTCGTCGAGGGACCACTGCAGGTACCTGCTGAGTAACCAGATTTCCCGGGTGCATCCCAGCACGCTCAGCATCGTGTTCTTCTCGGTAGCCACGTTGGAAGTCTGGTACTGCTGCCACAGGAAGTCCCATTCCGATTCGCCGCCATGTTTCAGGGCGGTACAGTAAACGACCCCTCTTAAGTCTTTAGGGACTCTAAAGAACACGAATTAGTTTATTTATTTATTCAATTCAACGGCTGAGCCAATTTACAAAGAAAAAGTAACAATAAAAATATAATATAAATAGAAATAGCAACATGACAAAACAACAACTTAATAACAAGCTTTTTAAATAAACCATATACAACATATAAAAACACAAAAACAGTAAGAAACAGTAAACAAACAGTATCACACTATTTACAACTACAATAAACCAACTGTTTCAATCTTGTTTTAAATAGTCGAAGACCGCCAGCAAAGGGATCAAGAGAGCAACTGTTAAATAACCTCAACGTTCGAGTTAAAGGAGAAAAATAGCCATAGTTGGCGTGATGAAATGGAATACAAAACTCTGCAATCTTTGATAGATGTTAAAATCAAAGGACTGGAGGAGAGCCGAACAGTTATATACACCGTTCAAAATTTTATAAAACGTCAAGGTATCGGAGTGGGTTCTTCTAATTTCCAGACTATCTATTGTATTGTAAATATTTATACCCGCTCTATATGCTAGGGACCTCAGAAATGCCCTTTGAACAGTCTTCAATCTATCAATGTGACATCTGTAATGTGGCGACCACACTACTGATGCATACTCCAGTGTAGATCTAACTAAGGAGCAATAAAGGGTTCTAAAACAGTCGGATGAGAACAGTGTACTATTACGGGTAATAAAACCCAGACCTCTCATGCCCATGCCAACATCCTCCAGCTGATCCAAAAAGGTCAGTTTACTATCAAAGATGACTCCAAAGTCCCTAACTTTTGTGACATACTCTATCGCTGTATTGTTAATAATATATCTATTTTGAAGGGTGTTAGTTAAGCGAGAAAAAGTAATACTAAAACACTTTCCAACATTTAGATCCAGACCATTTTCTCTGCGCCACGTACTAACATTATTAAGGTCGCTCTGAAGAAGCTGAGCGTCCATAAATGATTCAATTGTTTTGTAAAATTTAAAATCATCTGCAAAGGCAAGATGTTCAGAATGAAGAACCACATCACTCAGATCTCTTATAAACAAATTAAAGAAAACTGAACCTATGTGTGAACCCTGAGGCACACCCGAGTGCACCACAATTTCGCTAGAAATATAATTACTGATTCGGACTTGCTGTGTACGCCCTGTTAAAAAGCTGTGACAAAATTCAACCAGAGTACCACCCAGTCCAATAAGGTAACGGAAGTGTACTTGCATAAATATGCAGAAAAGAGAGAGACGAAAAAGAAAGAAAAGATATGAAAAAATGTATTTATTTTTGCAAAAATAAGATACAATAAAAAAAATAAAAGTGGAAAAAAGAAGGGCAGTGGATAGTTTTTTTTTATTATTAGTCGTAAGAAATAAAGTCATATCCACATAATATCAGTTGCATTGTCAGTTTGCACACTGGTTTCACGTCACATGACTTTAATTATAATATACTTATAATCTAATCTGTTGACGAAATCCGCTACGAATCTTTTGCCAAAATTGACCTAATCTCACTCTTAAACCTAAAGGCTGCAACTGTTATTTGCTTTTTTGGCTAATGCTCAGATTTTATATATTTTCGTTAAGTGAATGTTTTTCCCTTTAAACGATGAGTCGATAAGATTAAATTTATTTAAATACGAGACGACACAGTACGAAAAAAATAGTTTAAGAGGTTCCATTTAATGTTTAGGGATAGTAAGAACATTTTTTTAATCTAATATTCCTTGTTTGTAACTGGTCGCATGCAATATAATCCGACTATGCATATGAAGTCAATTTAGGTCCTTAGATAAGAGTTTTGGAGCTTCTATCTATTATCAGACCAATGAATCCAGAAAGATGGAAAGAATTGTTACTACTCACGGATTTTGTGCGGGCGAGTCCTGCCACATCTTGAAAAGCCTTACGGCATCGTTGACGCAGCCCGCTACTTCGAATTTACACGCCTTGCTGGCCGACAATACTTGAAGTTTAATTTTGTCCAATTTGTCTGACCGTTCTTCCTTGGTCACATCTAGTCCGCCGGTTTTCTCATAGATCGGGGTCAACAGTTTTCGCATGTAGTCCTTTGATAAGAAAAAAAAAACGCTACAGGGTGATTCAATGACACATTAAATATCAAAAGGAGTATGCAGAAAAAATGTAGAATGCAGATATTGATATAGTGAAAACTCTAAGATAATACGGTTAAATGTTAAAAAGATATAAAAGTTCATTTTTTATATAGAAAAGTTTTCTTTCAGATATTGAATAAGATACATCGATTGAAGATGCTTAGGAATATTAAAAAGACGCAAGAGTACATTTTATATTAGAAAAGATGACTCTGAAATTTTAAAAAGATATATCGCAGATATTAAGATAACAGAATTAAAAAGAAAAAATACATTTTTCATGTAGAGAAGATTGCCATTATCTTTTAGATATTAAAAAAGGTACTTTGACTAGAGATACCAATGTCACAGATTGGAATGTCAAAAAGACGCAAGAGTGTATTTTTCATGTTTAAAGTTGAAAAAGATACTGGAATGACAGATTGAATATCAAAGAGACAAAAGAGTATATTTTTCTTATAGAAAAAATTGCCCTTGCAGATATTAAAAATATACGTCGAGTGGAAACATTAAGAAAACTGTTTTAAACATCAAAACGATATAAAAGTTCATTTTTGATAAAGACGTCTCTTTCAGGTATTGAAAAATATATGTTGATTGAACATACTAAAGCAAAAGGTTGGGATATCAAACAGACACAAAAGCAAAAATTGCACAAAAGAGTATGTTTTTCGTGTGGAAAAAAATTCGGTTGCACGTATTGAGACAAAAAACATACGTCGGCTGCAGATAGTTAGGCAAAAGTTTGGAATATTAAAAACATGTTAGAGTATATTGGAAACGATTGAGATATATAAAAACATACTTCAGCTGAAGATACTTAGGCAAAAGTTTGGAATATTAAAAATACATTAGAGTATATTGGAACTGATGACTTTTTGAAATTGAAAAAGATACATCAATTTGAGATATTAAGATAACATAATTTTACATTACAGGAAAAGTACAAGTTTCATGTATAGAAGATTGCCCTTGCAGATATTAAAACACATGCGTCTAGTGGAAACACTAAGACAACAGCTTTACACATCAAAAAAGATATAAAAATTCATTTTGTATATAGAAGATAACTCTTTCGGATATTGAAAAACATACGTCGACTGAAGAGACTAAGGCAAGAGTTAAAAGGATCAGATATTGAAAAAGGTCATCTCATGTAAACTGGAGACGATAAAACAGCATCTAGAACGGATGACGCATTCAGAAATTTCAAATAGAAAGAATTGCTTTTTCAGAAAATGCTATATATTTTACCTTGTATACTCCGTACGATGGCTTTTTTTTGAGGTAATTGGTGAGTGTCCCGGTCTTGCCAAGAGCCGTTTTCCATGGCAGATATTCGTACTCCACGTGCAGGTATTTTAGCAAGCCGAAGAATATCTCGTACTTTAAATGGCCGACGAACGCCAAATCGGCTGCATCCGACAATAGCTGGACCCTATTCAAAGTAGGGATTTTTTTGTACTCCGCGCTTTGTAGAGTTTCGCCGATCAAGCGCCAGTTTTTATCGTCGTAGTTTACCTTGTAAATACCTTTTTGCGTAAAATAAAAAGATGTCAGTAAAATCAGCTTGTTTATACAGGGTTGTCCACACCATACAGCACTGAATATTTTACTTAAAAAGCTTAAGGTTGAGGATACTTTAAAAATGCTGTAATTTAAAAACAAAAAAGCAATTTCGATACGTTTAGCATCGTTGCGACAACTTTTATAATACGAAACTAATTCTAAAATGTAACCATAACAGATCCCACAAACAAAAGCAAAATCTTTTGAAAACGCATTTTAGCACATAACGTGGATAACCCTGTATGCAAAACAAAAAAAAATACTTTAATCTTTCCGTTTAAATGTTGGTCCAGTTTATTTTTCATTTTGAAGATATACCTTTGCAGATATTGAAAAAGATTCGTCCACACAAAACTCGAGATACTAAGAAAAACTATTGAATTTTGATGAAGAAAAGATATCTTTCATATACTGAAGAACAAAATGTCAATTCATGTAGAAAAATCTTTCAAATATTGGAAAAAGATACATCAACTGGAGGTAGTAAGACGACAGATTATAAATTTCAAGAAGAAGAGTGCAATTTTCATGTAGAAAACATATTAGATATTGAAAAACATACGTCGCGTCGAGTGGAGGTACTGAAAAAAGACATTGTAATTTCAAAAAAAGTATATTTATTATACAGGCCTTAAAAAATCTTTCATCGTCATACCTCTGAGAAGCAATTCTCCGTTCGGTCTTGCTTGACCTGTCTATGTACATAAACTTAGATCCGGTGTTCAAATACTAAGAAGTAAAGTTTAAAAAATTTTTTTGACAGTGACTTTTTTGTTTTTTATTTAAGAGAGTCTCCAGGGTACGTTATCTTAGAATATTCTTTTTTAATTTGTGAATTTAAGGAGCGCGATGTTTGATTTTTGTTGGCTGCTTTTTTGATGATCTCTTCGATCTCCTTACTTACGACATCATCAGGTTTATCATATAAGATTTGAGGTCACAGTGTCAAAATGACAAATCGCTAGCACTTATTTACTGCGGCAGATAGGTTTGCAACTTGGAAAATGCAATCTTTTCTCATGAAAAATATTGGTACTCTTGTATACTTTTGATATTCCAATATCTTGTAGTCTCCAGTCGACATCTCCAATGTTCGAAAGAACTATTTTTTCTATATGAAAAATATCCTCGTGTTTTGGGCTTTCAAACTGTAGTTGCTTCGACGTATATATTTATTCAAATTTCTGCATGAAAAAAGTATTTTTCCTATTGCTATCAATAACATATGAAAAAGTTTCTCGAAATACTACACAACTGAGGAGTGATCCTTTGTATCGTCTTGGTTGCTCATTATTTTTGCTTTCAGTTTACCCTGTAGCTTGGCCACGTACCTGACAAACCTTTTATATTTTCTTCAAGTACACACATAGAAAATTCGACCCGAAATCTTACCGGCCATTTTGTTGTTGAAAATGACCCATTCGTTGTCGGCTGCGACGTGCTCGAGTACTTGCTCTCCCTCGTTAGGACACGACAGCCAGTACTTGGGCGTGGTCGCTTCGAATTCCGGCTTGTCTCGAGTAGAGTAACTGAGCGGCACCCACCAGCATTGCTCAGTTTCTTCTTTTGCTTTCACCGTATCCCTCAAGAACCTTTCCTGTAGAAGTCGTAAGATGAATGCCATTTAATAGCAACATCCAATCTAACTTATTTACGAGGTTCAATCAAATATAAAAGACCGTTGAGTGGGAACGGTGTCTGTGTGGACATTTGTAGTCGTTAGGAGTGTAGGAAAATCACATCAGCAGGCTTGCTTGTGCTTGTGCTTAAGTTGTCTTTGCGATAAGTGTGTACCCCTCTCGCTTGAGCAATGCATAAAGTTCCTAAAGTTTGTAAACTAACCAAAACTAACCAGTCGCAATTTACCACAGACTGCTTGCCCAGTTCGGAAAAAACTACCCTTTCATGAGAGACTAAGGCAACGAATTTATGCAAGGCCGTGAAAGTGTTTCGAATCACTCATCACAATGCTTCAAATTTCGGAAGCACTTGGTGTCAGCTATGAAAGTCTCCAATCACCAGAAAGTAGTTGGACTTCAGAAAAATGTCAGCACGTTGGGTTCCAATGTTGCTGAATGACGATCAAAAAGCAGCACGAGTTCGCATTTCTCAATTGCTTTGACATTGATGAAGCATTGATGAAGCAATTGATGGAGCTTTGCGCAGTGGTGCATCACTACATCCCCAAATCAAAGCTTGTAAAGATTAAGTGCAGAAAAAACGCCAAAACTGGATTGTCTGCAGTTTTTTTGGATCGAGTTAAGTTTCAATATCACGACAATGTCATCCCCATATAGCACTTGGAGGCAAGTAGTTTGAGACCAACCATCAAGTGTAAATATCATTTTATAAGAGCGGAATGAAAAAAAGCTTGATTTTGATTTTTTGATTGGCCAACTTCTTTTTGTATTACAAAAAACTTGTTTTATTCCAATTAAAACGACGGTATATTATCTGGAAAACAGACTAGAAACTAAGCTTTTCCTCACCTGCCTAATGTTAGCTGTCTGATTTTCATAATCTCTCTGTACGTGGATCACTGGATAGCCGGTCTGGAGAGTCCAGGTGTCCATGATAGTTTTTACCGTCAAATTTTTGGGTAGTACGCCGTTTTGATGGGCTACTTCGGTTAGCGAGGCCCAAAGGTCATCCTGTTCAGCGTTGCTGTACCTGAATAAAAAGAATTCTTATTGTAGAAGTTTAACAGGAATCCAAAGTATTTCTTAATTCAAAGCCTTAATATTGAAATTACTGACTATTGAAACGCACTGTCAGAGAAATACATAGTACAGTGTATTGCTGCTTCCTTCTTTGGAATATCAAAAATCAAAGATTTTTTTTTCATTTATTGTGTGGTAAAAGTTACACAACGACAATCTCACAACTCATTTTGTAGTACTAAAATTTTCAATTAAATGTCCGATGAATCTATGTTAGTGGCCAGTCTCTCATAAAACGACCCTGTTTGAATTCGCCAACGATTGCTTTAATTTCTATTTTCCTTTTAAGCCACCAGCACCCCTACACCTAAATTTGATTCCCCAGAGGTAGTCACTATTGAGAGATTCTACTACAATAACTAAGAGTTTCATCGACAGCTTGTCATTGTCGAAAAAGAATCCTACTAAGATCCTTGATATTACTGATAATCGCTCTGTGATGAAATTTGTGCATTTTGGAAATTTGTGCAGTTAGAATGGTCTCCATCGATCTCGACAGTGTGTACATTTCAACATGGTTCAGCAACTGCTTCGTTCTTGAAATATACGGCTAACGATGTTAACCGGTTAATTAGATAATTAAACTAACTTAGTAACTTAACCTATTTTTTAATAACTGAACTATTTAATAATGAAGTTGTAATTGTTTTAGATGTAATATAGTGTTTGCTAAGAAACATTATCCAACTTACTTCTGGTGGAATTCAATAATCGATAAATTGATATATGCATATTGGCTTTTCTAAAGTTTTTAAAGTTCCATCAATGCAACCTTTAACTACTGTCGATTTCATTTAAATCAACTTTTTTGCCCTTCATAATAATATGTGGTTACACGTGTAGATTAGTAGAACAAAACAGCAAGTATTTTGTGGAACAAGTATAGACAGAGCTGTCAAGGTCTTAGTCTTGGTCAATATAATGTTTGTAAAACTGGTTGTGCACCGTGTTTTATGACGAGCCTTCCTACACATAGTTTATAAACCGATATTTAAAGTAGTTGAAGTAAAATATTTTTAACAGTGAGCTCTAGTGGTAAAAAGAAGTTCAGTTATAAAGCGTCTTTATGAGATTTATCTTCTAAAAGTGTCAAAATTACCTGTGTTGCCTCAAATATTTACTGACTCCAATCCTCACAGTCTCTTCGCCCAGAAACAGGCTCATCATGCGGATTAAAGAAGATCCTTTTTTGTACGAGATTGTATCGAATATTTCATCTATTTCTTTTGGGTCCCCAATGGGAACCGAGACCTGAAAACGAAACAATAAGGGCGTTATTTTTCGCCCGTAAAGTGAGAACGAAACGTACTGGGTGTGAAGTTCTAAGGGAATCGAAAGAGAACACGCTGAGCATGTTACCGGCCGCTTCCTCTTGCAGGGAGTTCCACTGCGGGAACAAATGCTCTACTGCCAGACTCGCCATGTAAGTGGCGAACCCTTCATTCAACCACAGGTCCGTCCACCATTTCATGGTCACCAAATTACCTTAAATAATAACATTCATTTATATTGGTACCTGTTTAATTTTTTCGTCGTGTTGACTGTTACTTCTTGTCTTTAGTTATTTTTGAGTGACTATACTATAAGTCACAAAAATCGCCAACTTTTTGCAAGGAATTTGAAGAAGAAGAATCAGCTTCAAGATCTTCAACGTTCTTACCGAACCACTGATGGGCGAGTTCGTGGGCGATAACGCTTGCCACACTGTGTTTGCTCGTTTTGGAGGACACTTCGGGATCGTAGAGCAGATAGGCTTCCCTATAGGTGATCAGGCCCCAGTTCTCCATAGCTCCGGCGCTGAAGTCCGGTATCGCGACCATGTCTTGCTTCGGAAGCGGATAATCGATGTTGAAGAACCTTTCGTAGAATTTCAAGGCTCTAGGCCCCACGTCCTTCGCAAAGTCTACCTTGAAAAGCCATTATATATAGAGTGAGCGGTTTATCTTGGGAATATCTAATTTTTTTATTGCAAAAGATATAGGAGTTGAAGCTGAATGTTAAAAACATAAGTGGCAGGATGTGCCTTTCATACATGAAAGCTTTTCTTTTTAAACTGATGCTGACATTTTTGCATATTTCGATTCTAAACGATGTTCGAGATACTTTTCGTTTATAATGTAATATATTTAAGTCTAATCCAATTTTTTGTATTCTAATAATTATTTTCGCAAACACCCTAATTTTTGTATGTTTTGTAATTTTTTTTGTAAGTGGTCGATCTTTTTAATGTTAACAGCGAGCTATCCTGGATATCTTTGTATGCGGCATTTATATTTAATTTTGTTATTACTTGGTTTAGAGCGTCTTTCCGAGCCCAGATTCTGAACGAAACGTTGTTCATATGGACAGTGGCATCCGCTTCTCTGTAATCAAAGTCGGACACGACGTAGGCTACCAGGTAAGTGGACATCGGGACGGAAATGTCGAATCTGTCCCAGTACCATCCCGCTTTCTCTTTTCTATGGACAATAATTGAAATTATACATGGCACCTAAGAATACTGAGTCGCTTTTTTTTGCGATCAGCAGGGCGATCATATAAGGATGACACTGAAGAAACCGCAACTTGTTGTCAAGACTTTTAAGAACAATTTAATTCGAAGTAATTTTTCGATGAAAAATGATTTTGCACATGTTGTAAAGCCAAATTTTCACCAAATGAACCGAATAAAAACAAAACAAGATCCCGGTTCGTTTTGTGTCAGTCGTCCACAAAACTGGATTTATTTACTACAAAATTTTTTATTTTGTTTGAACTTTTTAGTTAGAATTAGGTTTTCACGAACATCGGTAAATTTAAATAGGTCTGCGTGTTCTCAAGATGTACGTATGCTTAGTGTAAACACAAATTTTCAAAGTCAATGTTAGGACGGTAATTTTCAAATTTCAGATTTTTTGGTATATATTGTGTTGATGTTTGGTAGAGATTATTTTATTGCCTTGAAAGTCGTCTTTCTCTCATGGAGAGCCACCTAAATTTTCTCATTATTCTTATCTCACCGAGTAATATTCCAAAATGTTCATTATCTTATTCATCATATTCTCACACTTCTGTTGTTGATATACAGTGTGTCCATTTTTCGTTATTATTGCGGGGTATCTCAGACACACCCTTTATCGTAATGAGATGATGAAAACGGAATCTTTCAGGTTTTTCACGTGGCGATTTTTTGTAAAAGATGTACTTTTAGGAGCTAAAGTTATGTTTTTTTTTTTAATTTATTTTGAAAATAAACACATATTTTAACAGTTTTGAAATTATGTTTCTATTCTATCTTAATTTTATTCCACTTAATATATTATTGCTATTATTATTATTATTATTAAAATTAATTATACATTTTTATTCTGATTGATTCTACGTTCTAGGCAAATAAACTCGGAAATGTTCAAAGGATTCGTAATCTATGCTGGCTGGCGGTGGAAATCAGTTTTTTTCAAATTGTACAATTTTTTGTATTCTATTAGTATTTTTTATAATAAGATAATAATAATAATAATAATAACTGGAATAATATTAAAAACAAGTAAATTTTTAAATTGTCGTAATATATGTTTGTTTAAAAAATATATTTTTGGAAAATGATACATTTTTGGAAACCGTATAAAGAATCACAATGAATTTTTAAAAAAATATATTCAGGGAGTTATTGGTTGGCTTTGGAAAACCGTCACATCATATATAAATAAAAGAGTAATCTTTGAAAACAACTAACACTAACTTATACTTACACAGGTTCCGTAGTCAGAAGCGGCATGTTGCTTATAGCCCTGTAGCCTTCCTTCCTTGCGATGCTGATGTCGAACGTGGCCTTCATCTCGGGCTCGTCCAAGCACGGGAACGCCCTCCTAGCGCTGATAGCCTCGAACTGGGTGACGCCCAACCATCTTTTCTCCTTGCTCTGTTTGTCGACGTAGCTGCTCCTGTAGAATCCTGCCAGACCGTCGTCGAGTTTTCCCCTGAACCGTATGAAGATCTCGTAACGGTGATCCTCCTTTAGACTCTCCTCGAGTATGATGATGAGGAAATCGTTGGGTATGTCGTAGGCAATTTTGAGGTTCCTCACTTCCCGCGGGACCTTGCTGGAGATGTCGCGCAGAGTGACCTCGTTTTCGAATATTTCGAGAGACTTCGAATGCAAGGTTATGTTAGAGGTCGGCGAAACGCAGGAAGTCTGAAACGGGCACGTTCCTGAGCATTTGCAATGGAGGCAATACTTAAAAAATATATATTATTCATGTTTCGGTTAATTTATTGTCTTCTACTGGACGATAACATCGAAGCATATTCGCACTTTTATGAAGAATCCAGTGGATCAGTTTTAATTTTTCAAAAGGTCGCAATGGTGTGGGGGATCTCAACAAATGCATCGTCCTGTAAATACAATTTCGCCAAGGTGCTTTAAATATTGATCTTCGAGAGACTAGTAAACGATATATTAAGAATTGTGGGCGATATTGAAATTATTAAAAATATTAAAGTTTTAACGGTGGCATGTATTTTTTAGAATTCTACGTAAAACGTTGTAATAGGATTCGTTTTTACCTTTTTGAAGAAGACATCGGACAAGATTTGCATATGCATTTTATATTGGATATGTATTTTAGATTTAACATTTTAACGGTGACGTCACCTCTGGAAAGTGCTTTCTGAATGATGAATCAAAAGCGTGAGAATAATTGTGGAGCGTAACATATGCTCTTTTGAGACTGAGCTTTGCACACACAAGGTAGTGCAAACTGCGTTGTTTGTTTTAGTTTTAAAATTCCAAAGTTTTTATTACTTTTTTGTAACTCCGACACCATTTCTTTCAAACGCAAATACCGTTAATTTGGTTAATCGAATTGTTAAAATATATAATATCACCCATAATGGCAGCCTCATCGAACAATATTTGTAATGTGTTTAGTTTGTTTTATTGTGTTAGCAATATTTTATACATTTTCACTCATATTTTGTTCTTATTTTCTGCATCTTACTATCCCAAAACATGCACTTTGCACTTTTTTTGACTTTGATCAGGTTTCAAATTATGGATATCTCGTGTGCAATAAATCAATTGTGAATACGGATTTCACAAGTATGACTCTCAGGCTTACAACGCAAAGGGGTATCACAAATTACACTTGCTCAAAAGTCCACTGTTAAAAATGGGAGTTAATCTGTAAAAATTTTCAAAAAAATCTGAGAAACTGTTGAATGTTTGTATGTTTTAGTTATAATCTCCGAGAGTATGACCATGTTTCGCAGTGCCTCTCTGATTTTAATTGGTTCAAGCTTACACACAAAAAAGAATACAAATAACACGAAGAATAAACTCCTTAAAGAAAACGTTAATATATGATGTATTAGACTCGCCAATGTCTAGCAACAGCGCATGAATTTATGATGCGCGTCTATTTCTTGTATTTAAGATGTGTATTCGGATATTGGAATATTTTTTATTATCATTATCAAATAAGGAGGAAACCAATGAAACTCATCATCATAATTTTTCTTCAGAAATCTAAATTAAATGTTATTAACTAAGGATTGGGTCATCCGAATCAAAAGAACCTAGTCTCGTTTAAAAAAGCGTTTCTTACTGTCACATGATCTTATTGTATTATATTATATTATATTTTTCGTGGAATAGGTTGTCTAGAAGGGGAATATCATATAGAACTTAAAGAGAATGCTATACCTTCGGTTTGTCCTGCTAGAAAAATTCCGATAGCTTTGACTAAAAAATTGAAACATACTTTAAATGAATTAGAAAAAGGAAAAATCATAAAAAAGGTAACTGAGTGTACCGATTGGGTAAATCCCATAGTAATTGTTAAAAAACCTAATGGAAATCTTCGCATTTGCTTGGATCCTTCTCGATTAAATCAATTTTTAAGGAAACCAACCTTTCATTTGCCTGGTTGGGATGAAATAGCATCAAAAATGCATGGTTCTAGATATTTTAGTACTTTAGATGCAACTCAGGGATTTCTCCAGATAAAATTAGATAAAGAAAGCTCTAAACTTTGCACGTTTGCGACACCTTTTGGCAGATATTCTTTCCGGAGATTACCCTATGGTCTTTCATGTTCATCTGAGGTATATCAGCAACGCGTGCAAGAAATTTTTGGAGACATAGAAGGCTGTGCAGTTTTTATAGATGACGTTATCTGCTTTATTAACTCAATTTCTGGTCATAATTTAATTCTGGAAAAAATTTTAAAGCGTGCTGCACAACATAACATTCGTTTTAACAAAGAAAAATGTAAAATTCTATGTAAAAAAATCTCCTATATGGGACATGAGCTAATTGAGCGTGGCATAGAGGTAGATAGATCTAAGATTCAGGCCATTTTAGACATGCCAAGTCCAGGAAATGTCAAAGATCTTCAACGTTTTTTGGGCATGGTCACATATATAGCTCGCTTTGTAGATGGTTTGTCTGAAAAAACCTCAATTTTGCGTTCTTTACTGAAAAAAGATGTAACTTTTCAATGGTCGGATGAACATGAGAGAGCATTTCAAAACTTAAAGTCAACTTTGACAAAAACACCTTGTTTGCAATTTTTTGACACTAACCAACTTACGACTATTTCTGTGGATGCTTCTCAGAGTGGAATGGCGGTCGTTTTGATGCAAAATGGGAGACCATGTGCTCATGCATCGAGAGGATTAACAGAAACTCAGTCACTTTACTCACAAATTGGAAAAGAATTATTAGCTTGTTGGTTTGGTGCTACACGTTTTTATCAGTATGTTTTTGGCAAAAAGTTCATAATTGAAACAGACCATAAGCCTTTAATTTCAATTATTCAAAAACCTTTGTATCTTACTCCACCAAGATTACAAAGAATGCTCATGCAGTTAAAAAAATATGATTTTGAACTTATGTATAAACCAGGCAAAAAAATCATTGTGGCAGACACTTTGAGTCGAGCTTTAAATTCCAAAACTAACTTTAATGAAAGTGTTGATTTTGATATTGAGTCACAAATTTGTGCTGTTGAGCTTTCACTAAATATTACTGATGAGAAAAAACAGCAAATTCGAAAGTTGACCCTTGAGGATCCAGAACTTTATTTAATAAAAAACCTTTTGGAGAAAGGGTGGCCCAAAAGCATTAGAAGCTGTCCGGAAAGTGTCAAGTTCTATTACAGATTTAAAGAAGAAATTTCTTGTATCGATCAACTCATTTTTAAGGGCCATAAATTAATTGTTCCTCAAGCTCTACGTAAAGAAATTTTGCAAAAACTTCATCATAGGTTATAAAAAATGTTTGGATATGGCTAACTTGTCATTTTTCTGACCAGGGATGCGAAAACAAATTGAAGACATGATAACATCTTGCAGTGCATGTCACATGTATCAGAGATCTCAGAGTTCCGAACCTTTGAGGCCTTCCCAGATTACCTTGGCAAAAGGTAGCTGCAGATATTTTTCAATTTCAATCAGAGTGTTACCTCTTAATTGTCGATTACTATTCAAACTTTGTGGAAGTTGTTAATTTGAATCAAAATTTAACCTCTCAAAATTTAATTAATAAATTCAGATCAATTTTTTCAAGTTTTGGTATTCCCAAAATTTTAATAACAGATAATGCAAGCAATTTTTGTAGCTTAGAATTTAAGAACTTTTCAAAAAATTGGGAGTTTCAACATGTTACTTCTTCTCCTTTGTATCGTCAGTCAAATGGACAAGTCGAAAGGACGGTACAATATGTTAAAAATTTACTTAAAAAGTGCTTTTTCAATAAGGAAGATCCATATTTGGCTTTAATAAACTTTCGAAATACACCTTTGGATGGTGAGAACTCTGCAGCAAATGCTCTTATGAATCGAAACTTAAGATCTGTAATTCCAGAGATAAATAATAAATTTTCAAAAAATTTCAACAAGAAAAAATTCAATTCTCACATAACAAAAAACCAGCAAAATCAAAAGAAATATTATGACAAAATTAAACAAGCTTTAGCACCTTTAAAAAACAACTCTTTAGTAAATGTTCAAATGAAGCCAAAAACACCATGGCAAAATGGTTAAGAAAAGTAGCTTTTAGATCTTATTTGGTACAGCTGGAGAATGGTTCTATTTTTAGACGTAACAGAAAATTCTTAAAAGAGCTCAAAACATCCAAAGATTTTCTATCTCGAAGCTTGAGCGAGCCGAGGAGTTTTCCTGACTTGTTTTCGGAAAATAATTTTCATAATAATAGACATTTTTTGAGAATAGTCAATAATTCAAACAACAATGATTCAAATAGAGAATATATACAGGCTGATCCTGGTGTAAGCAACAACTCTGGTAGCAACTTAAATGTAAATAGCTGTAGTGACAATGACAGTCTTTTGAGCTTTAGTTCTAATTCTTTTTTGAATTCTAGTTTTATAAATTCCAACTCTGACAAAGAAAAAACTCTAAAAAATGTAAATAACTCTTTTGACAACCATCAATTGGAAAATGTAGAGAATAAAAAACTTTTAGATGATGCTGGTTTAACCAATAAAGGAATTGACGAAAATAATTTATTGTTAAACTCAGACATACCCAGCACTTCTAAGCACACTACATTTTTCTTTAAATACTCCAAAGAAGGGGAGGAGAGTACTAGTCATAGAACTAGATCTGGACGAAATGTGAAAATTCCACAGAAACTTTCTGACTATGTCGTGGACACTAGTCCAGAGCCTTAAAAATATATATATATATTTTTTTGCTTATACAACTTTTGTACTCTCACTTTAAATAAAGTGAGAACTTCTTTTTTTAATCAACTTTAAACTCACCTCACACAAGGTAAAATCATTATTTTAATTTCACGGTGGTCCAAATGAAACTCAATTTGTCTTTATATATATAAGGAATTATATTTTGTCAATGTAATAAATTTACGGTTTAACTTTTACTAATTAACATTAATTAGTATTTAACATCAACTTAAGCACTTTTAAATAATTTTACAAACATCAAGAAACCAATTTTAAATTTAAAATAAAATCAAAGATTTTAAATAGGTGGCGCAATCATTACTTTGAATTGTTCATTAAACTGAATCTGGTATCCAACTTATTTATTATGTTTTCAGCATACATTTTGACTTATAAACTCTATTTGTAGAAAGTTACACTTTTAAAATTTTATTGTAAAAAGTGGGATGTCACATGATCTTATTGTATCAATCCCATATACCGTGATGGCTTTATATTTGTTTTATACTATGCTGTACTTTTGGATCACATGATCTAAGGAAACTATGTAAAATAAAAGTACTTTGTTACCGGGTTGCGCTACGACCAGACGTGTTCTTTATTAACCTGTCACCTTTAAGTAAAGTAGAAGTTAAACAACAAAATAAACACTTACAAATTCTCAAACATTGCTCGTTTTTTCAAAAATTTCAAACATGTATTTTTAGCACATAATGTAGAGGGAAAAAATCTATAAAATAAAAGCGAAAACCACAGCCTGGTATCTTTTTGTAAACCAAAAATACGAAAAAAACAAGCTCAACTAACTTATTTCTATTACATTAAAAGCGTTATTGACTATGACAATTCTCCGAAAATATCAAAAAGAGAAATGAAAAAATACCCGGTACATGTTGCTGCTGTTTAAAAAGGAAAACAGCATTTATTTTTTCTTTAATCTCAAATTTTAGTTTTTATTTTCACGTTTTCATAAAAAAATGTTTCTTGTAATTAGTTTGCTTTTTTTCTGCCACTATTTCGCGAACGATATGCCCTTTACGGTCAGTCTTGCGTTACTTGTTACCGGTCGCCGAAATCGGTTTGGACATTGACACAGATTTTAAAACTATCGCCTTTGACGCGCGAGACAATTTCAATGACATCCAAAATTGTTCGCATAATAACTTATAACTGGGGACCGACCTCTATCCACACTTTTCCGTCAAAGTCGAAGTTGTCTTTTTCTCCCAAATACGTAAAAATTTCCAGCCTGTAGTTCTCCGGCGTAACACTTCTCGGCAGTCTGTACGCGTCGATCGTGACTAGTGCCAGAAACAGCACTAAGAACCTCAACATTTTCTGAAAACTAAGGAAACAATAATATAATATCAATGTCAGGGATAATATATAACAACGTGTCAGAAAGTGATGTTATAAACAAATAAAAAAAATATGACCGAAAAATTTATAAATTGGTACTACTGACGGGCTAAGAATGTGGCGTAACCACAGAATAATACAAGCCCACGCAAGCGAACTAAAGCATCGGCACCTTTGATCACAAGGGAATAATTTCCCAAAATGGAAACTGGTACTCTAATTTAGACTGAGCAGCCATTGATTTCACACGGTAGTGTAAACTACCGACTTTGCGAAGCAGTAGCGAATTACAAGATATCGTAAGAAGTACTTAAGCAGAATTAAGATTTTATTATTAGTTGGCGAAAACTATTCACTACTATTAAAAAATATTAATATATCAAAACAGTACAAAGCAAAAAATCAAGCTATTAAATAATTACCAAACCCGCAAATAAAACAAAATAAATAAATCCAAAATTTGTTCTGAACAATATAACCTAAGTTGCTACAACTAATTTAATGATTCAATAGACGTATTGCATGGTTATTTCATTTTCCTCTCCAAGTTTGAACGTTATTGGAAACTTTCAAAGAAAATTCATTTCGATTAAAAAAGTATTCAAAATTGAAAAAGACAGACTTAATATATGGGCTAATTAGAAAAAGCATTATTATTATCAAATATGCGTTTTTTTAAATAAAGATTTCAAGAATTTTTTGAAAACGCACCTCTACCAATTACGTATTGTTTGTTATTTTCAATATCAAGGCAGTGTTTCCTAAAATAATCTATCGTATCAAATAAAACGTTTGCAATCGGCAGGCACCTTGTAAACCACTTAACAATTTTGAAATTTTGAAATATTTCAATGAACTCAAAGACAACCTGTGCTATAATTGCAGTTTTGGTTTTATTTCAAGCAAGTTCGGCCTTATTTCCTTAAATAATCTTGCGTTTGTCATTGACTGTAATATATGAATGTTATGTATTAACATTTTATTACGCTTTTCTCATCTAGGATATAGGAAATGCAACCTACTAAGGTTTTTTATAACGATATAATTATAAACCTTGAGATCGAGATATTGCAGACTGTAAAAGCAATTACGATTACTGGTCTGGCAAGATAATTTTGTTTTGGTTTTAGCCTAATGATAACAATTAAAAGGGGTGCTACACCTGACGAAAGTTGACTTGAAGGTTATATCGTAAACTTCGTTGCTAAATTATTGGCAACCTAATTTGTATACGATAGAAAGAAGGCTCATTTCTGTACTCCGATGCGGAAGCTAATTATCGTGGCGGTTGGACACAAAGAAAAATTCATCACGAAATATTCTAGCAACACGTACGTTTTGCGAATTACAAACATTGTTATTAGCGAACACTTGCTAATAACAAGATTTCTATAGTTCGCATTTATCGCCGAAATAGCCAGAATTATATACATTTTTAAACGAAAATAAGCAAATGTATTAGGTGCGTATAATTACCAAGTCGACATGTTTTTGTTCTTCAATAATATTATTACATATGAATAGTGCACGAAACTTTGACGTTGTATCTGTTTGGATCGAGAGAAAGAAGGTAGTTAAATAGACAAAAAAAAGTTTTCTAGTATTTTCAATTTTTTTTTAACCATAAACTTTTATGCTGATAAAAATAAAACGGATATTGGTCTAAAAATGCAAATAACAATCCACATGTGGATGATTCCGTTCAAACTGTTACTTTTTTACTTAAAATTTATAAGATTTTAAAATTAGATTTTTTTTATGCATAATATTCATTTATTTTGCTGTTAAAGTCTGAAAGGATTTTACTACAATTTCAAAGCGTCAAGAACGAGAAACATATTTCAAAATTTCCGCTACGCTACTGGCTTATTTAGCCGCGGTACTGACATACAATAAATCTGAGTTCTAAAATCATATAAACTCTTTGCTCAACGTTACCAACTCTATGTTTGTAAATAGTACTGAATAGTACTGATAGTACTAAGAATTTGGAGATAATACTTTTTACGAAACTTCTGGATTCCTCCTGCGTTGGTTGTTGCTGAGTCGAACTTGCTGACGTTTCACCAATCATCCTGTTGGTTTCTTCAGAGCTTGACTGAAACTGGCTCCCATTTTACTCTGTACCTGCTTATATATTGTTTGAGGGGGGCGGAGCTAAATGAGTGGCATAAACACCGTCTCGGATGACTGATTCCCATATTGGTGAGATTGTTAGGTTGTTTATAGATTTCTATAGATTCTCGGAATTTTCGTTGGTAGATTCATTGATCACATGCAAAAATTTTAGTTTTATCGAATAAAATTGTATGTGCGGTTTATTTGACTTAGTTGTAAGGCTCTTTCGTGTTCTTTGAACCTAGTTGCTATTTTTCGTCCGGTCTTTCCAATATATTATTTGCTGCATATGCATGGAATGTTGTAAACTCAAATGGAATTTTGTCTTTGGCAGACCGAAGATGTTAAGAGATTTTTGGACAAATGGTAAATCTGGTTTTGACGTTAAACTTCTTTAGAACTTTTAATATGTGGTCAGTTATGTTTTGAATGTAAGGAAGGATCACAGTAGCAAGTGTAGGATTGCTTTCGGCCTCATTGCTGTTGAAAGGTTGTGCTGAAGTGTATTTTTTGATGGAATGCTTAATATCTTTAATGTGGAAATTATTAGAGAGGGGTGTAGAGGTAAGGTGTTTTAATTCTGGGTTCAGTGACTCGGGCTGAGATAGTTTTACGGCTCTGTAAACAAGATAAACAAGATAAACCAAAACAGCTAATGAAATTCGATTTGAAACCTCAAAAATCCTTAAAAAATCAAAACCTCCTAAATCCATTGCAAAGCCTTGAACAGAATGCCCTAAAATCTCTAAAATCTAATCCAGACATCGTAATCCTAAAAGCAGATAAAGGATGGTCATGGACACAAATGAATATCAGGAAAAGATTCAAGATATTCTTACAGACGGATTATAACTATAAAATTCCTCGTCTCTACGGACTCCCAAATTAGGATTACCTCTTCGACCTATTGTCAACACCATTGGTTAAAATATCTAGCTTCCTTATTAAAACCCCTTACAGGAAAAACTAGCAGTTTGGTTCTTAATTCCTTCCAGTTCATTGAACCATTAAAAAGCATGACATTAGATACACAAGATAATCTAGTTAGTTTCTACGTAAAATCCCTCTTTACCAAGGTTCCTATTCCCGAAACTTTCAACATCATTTCAGATATATTAGTCCGAGAATCTGGAATCAAACTTCTCACCTTAATTGAAAAATGCTTGTCTGGAACATAGTTTTCTTATAACGGCCAATTTTTTGAACAAACGCCGGAAACATGGGTTCTCCACTATCACCAGTCATCGCGAATATATTTATGGCAGCCTTTGAGAAGAAAGCTCGTTTTACCACTGAGTTGGAAACTAATAATAACCTTCCATTCTTAAATATTCTTATCAATAGAAAATTAGACCTAACATTGGGTCATTGTGTTTACAGTAAACATACGCATACAGACCTTAATGTATGGTCACATCACCATCCGGTCCAAAAATCATTGGTTATCAACTCTCTTGTTTACAGAGCCGTAAAACTACCTCAACTCGAACTCAACCCAGAATTAAAATACCTTACTTCTACTCTTCTCTCTAATAATTTCCACATTAAAGATATTAAGCGTTCCATCAAAAAATAAACTTCATCACAACCTTCCAATAGCAATGTGATCGAAAGCAATCCTACACTTGTCACTGTGGTCCTTCCTTACAGTCAAAACATTGCTGACCATATATCAAAAGTTCTAAAGAAGTATAACGTCAAAACCAGATTTACCACTTGTCCAAAAATGTCTTAACATCTTCGGTCCGTCAAAGACGAAATTCAATTTGGGATGGGAGGAATTTAAAGCATTCCATGCATATGCGGCAAAGAATACATTGGAGAGACCGAACGAAAAATATGAACTAGGCTCAAAGAACACGAAAGAGCCTTACGACTAAGACAAATAAACTCATCAGCTGTTGTCGAACACAGTCACGAAACCGGACATAAAATTTTATTCGATAAAAGTAAAATTCTTCTACCAACAAAAAATCCGAGAGTATATAGAAATCTATAAACAACCTAACAATCTTAACCGCGACTCACCAATATCAATGTCACCAATATGGGAATCAGTCAAACAATATATAAGCAGGTAGGTATCAAAAACCGATGCAGGAGGAATCCAGAGGTTTTGAAAAAGTATTACAGTAGCCTGTGGAAGTTTCTTTGAAAAAATTGTAGATCAATTTAAAAAATTGACATAAAAACGGTACTGACATATAGCTGATATATTGTAGGTTCTCTCTGAATGACAAAACTATATGAAATAAAAAATACGTTGAATATGATTATCTAATGAATTCAAAAATTTCGTTATTAGAATTTTAATTAATCACGAATGAGACAGACAATACAAAGCGTAAAAAAGCACAGTTAAAACAGAATCACCCATGTCGACTTTGAAATCTATATAAATGGTTTTCTACCAGAATGATAACTGAAAATGTATTTGCAGATTTTCAAAGTGATTGCAAACCAAGAAGACCTTATAAAAAACTCGACTTTTCAGTTTTTCACAATGTCTCAAAAACCAAAAAGTAACAAGTACGCTGCTGCTGTATTTAAATTCTCAACATGTTTTGATAAAATATTTTTTCTTTATTTGATATTGTTTGTATATGTATGGTGGGATCTCAACAATATTAAATAAAGAAAAAATATTCTATCAAAATATGTTTCATGGTTGATGGAAGAGTTTTTTTGGGAAAATGGGACTTTATAATTTGCTAAAAATTTGCAATTTGGCTACCTTCTTTATCGAAAATAGCATCAAACTTGATTTTCTTAATGCTGTGGTTAGACTTTTTTTTCCATCTGCTTAGAACAATGTTTTTTCTTATGTTTTACCGCGGACTTTATTTTTTATGAAAGGGAAAATTTTTT